AAGTCTACGGAGAAAAACCCTATGGGGATTTGTGTACTTTTGGTCTGGCTGACTTAGTTTCTGGAGAGTGATAAAGTCCAAGGAGTTTGGGAGTGGGATGGTGAAAGGCTGCTCGTGGGTATGTCACTGGGGACTTTGGTCAGTGAGGGAAAGGAAAGGGTGAGCCTTTCTTGGTACATGTACATGTACATTGAGTTGTGTACAACACTTTACATGTAGTCTCTGGATGGCTAGGAAATCTACACACATTTTTATGGGTTAAGACTGTGGGTTAGCAGAGGTAACTGACCTTGCTGTGCCGTGACTGGACACAGGCTCAGTGGCATGTGGTTTGACGAGACACATATGCTATGAAGTAGGGGTCTGTGTGGGTCGAATGTGTGGGTCATGTGTGACTGAAATGAGGATCACTCTGAGAAAGATTGGGGCAAATGAATAGAAATAGAATTTGGCTCTGTTGTTCTACATACCCAGATTTGGCAATTTCCCAAATGACAATTTTCAGCGTGGGACACAGAGCTCAGGTTAGTTGCTATAGTAGAGTGTGACAAACACAAGTAAAAACTGCTTGGGGCTGGTTGAACTTTACAGGTTGGCCAGCGGGCTAGTGAAAAAAGGAATACCATTATGAACCTGCTTAAAGAAACATTGTTTGCTATCAATTGACCGGGATGCAAGAGCCTATAAAATAACTCTGCAATGTCGAATGTGTGAATATTGAGTAGGCGGGGAATAAGATAAGGAGGCGGGGGAGTAGGGTGTTATGACAGCAGCATATGGTCCGACCTTAAACAACAATATTCCCAATTTACAGGGAAAATGACTGGAGAATTGTTTTTCGGAGAAAAAGATGAGCTAGTTGAGCGTGTCTCATCATCCATCCATCTACTGAGACAACAGACTGTCAGAGAGACTGATAGAGAGAGCTGGAGTGGGATGTTATGATATGGCATAAGGGATGACTGGACTTGACAGGTTCATCCAAGCATGGCTAGAAGGACGAGGTCACAATTATGATTGATGCTTCTCTGATTCATTAGTACTAGTGTTAAAAGACTGATTAATCTGAAGTGCAAATTGTTTTGTTTTTAATGTTTTCTTTTGGCACAGAGTTTGCAGAGTCAATTTCTGCTTCAAAGTCAGAGTTATTATCTCGCCGCAGCGAGTTAAATTGTTGAATGTGTAACTTGCCATGGAGAGTTACATGTATATGGTATTGCCGCTTTGTGGAATTGAAATCCTACCGCTTCAGTACTTGAGTACTTGAAGTCGTCCTACTCAGATACATAATAAGGATGGAATGCAATAAAATTAGGTTTCAGATTATTTTAAACAAAGCTTGATTCAACCAAGTTTGATTTCCAACACAAAAGAAAACAAAAGAAATCTCTTTAAGGGTATGAATTTCTATATTCGGTAGTGGGGTAGACTACTTTGACTCCTTGGTAGACTCCTTTTGAAAGGATTATGGTGCCTTTTCATTTATACTATAATCCTATTTACATAAAGTGCCATGAGGGGAGACCCTGAAAAGAACGGGAAGAAAGAAATGAAATTACCCCCCTCCCCCAGTTACATGTTATTGCTTTAGATAGACGGTTTGCCCTCCCCCCTCGCCCACCGGAAAAAATTCTAGTGATGCCCTTGCATGTTTTTAGCCAACATGTGTTGCTATGTTGGACCAAACCTCAATGTTGATATTATTGCAACATTAAACTTTGCTATGATTTAGGAGATTTCAACAGGCAAAAAGAAATAGGAAGTGAAGGTGGAAGGAATATTAACACACACTTTTTCATTAACTGGATTGAAAGCCCCAGGCTCTTTGACCTCACAATCCATGCGTTCACTTGTCACAAACCACCCATACAGCTTAGTGCGTTGGGAAGGGCAAATAACTTATTTTTGTCGAGAACTTATTGAATGGAGTTTGTTTTAACATCTGAACACTGGTCAACATTTCCAGCCCGGTACCCATGACAGGCATGTACTTACATGTACATGTATACACTATTCGGAGATTAAAGCACTGCATGTACATGTAAGTAACCTAAAATGCTTTGAGCGTCCAAAGCTGTGAGGAATTTTATGTGTTTCATTTGTAAAAGTACTGTTTTTTATCTCCATTTTAAGCACTGTAAATGAATGAATTTCGAGTGACAAAAGTCCAAATGTAACTTTCAAGTCCGCTTGCTTCTGTTTGGTACTTGGAAAATGTAGGAAGGAATTAAAAACGGTCTACCCCTCATCTGAATGTGGAAATTCACACCACAAAATGAGATTTCATTTGTTTTCTTTTGTGTTGAAAACAAACTTTGTTGAAATGTGAATTCCCCTTTTGTTCCAGTTAGCAATCTTAAACCAAATCTCACTGCATTTCACCCTAGAGATACATTTAAAAACAGCACGCGGAATAGGACTTATGACACTATTGAAGTATTTGCTGCAGCGGGATACCAATTTGATGCTGCGGCAAAATCTTATAAGTTGTTGTGGCGAGATACACATTCAATGATGAAACTCGCCATGGCGAGTTACTCTCTCACTGTGGGGAGTTAAATCGTTGAATGAGATGGGAACTCGCTGTGGTGAGATATTGACTCACCGCGGCAAGAGAGTAAATCAAAAAGATTTTATTGCAAGTGGCCCTTACAAGCTTCCGTAGTTCTCTTTCTAGTTAAGTTCACAATTATTTGTTGTTGTTTACTGTACATATGAACATTCACCCTACACTTGTGCAGCATGTGGCCAAGTAGTTAAGGTGTGTTCCGGTAACTCCCAATCATTCAGGTTGGAGATTTCAATCCACAAGTTGGTACAGCGCGTTGCAACCCAGAGCAATTCACTTTATCCCTGCTTGCCTCCCTCCACCCAGGAGTGTGAATGGCTACAGGCAGAGACCACACATGCTCTGAAACTTGCTGCCAAGTGGTCTGGAGTGAAGAACAAGATAATAATCGTGAAGCACTTTTATTAAAAGTTTTAAGATACATGTACCCAGTCGGCACATTCGAAAGTTCTATGTAGGCATTTCAATTATTTTTATCTTCCAGGAGGAAGATAAAGATTTTAGAAAGAATTTAGAAAGGCACAACCTTATCTCGCATTCAATTTGTTTCATTTCATTTTTGGGGATATTCTTGACACAACAAATACAAGGATATTAAATACACAAAAATAAACATTATAGACAAAACTTGCCCCAAACAACATTGAATCAGCCCCTGCTGGATTTTTGAAAGGAAGCATGGTTTCAGATTAGGGGCTCTCCAGATAGTTATTTAGGAAACACTCAAAACAATGTTAACTAAATGTAATGTAAGACCTTAGAGGTATCAGTAAGGTACTATTACCATAACGAGTACTCAGTTACTTTCCATGGTACATGCACTTAATGCTCCAAGAAAAAAATATTGAAAGTTTGTGCTATCGGTTGTTTTGGCAGTGTTCAGCATTGTGTGGTTCAGAAAGTCATTGGCAGAACAGAGCGTAAGTTCGTGGTGTTACTAGTACCAAGTGGGGATATTTGGTTTGATCTTGTACCGTATTTGCAGGAAGCTAATTGATTTGCATCAGGTTTACTTATCCCTGTCCTGCTTGTGTTACGGAAGATTCACTAGAGATCTACGTCTGCTTGATTATTTCAATTTTATCGTGCATAGTGGTTGAGAATGTCTAGAAAATGATGGAGACAGGTTTATCTAGAATACGAGTAGGTGCTTGCAAACACATTAATCCCCCTCGAAAAAAACTGTTGTAATATTGTACTTTTTCCTTTGCTGTTCCACCCCTAAGATTTACATGTACATGTATACTGCTGACTGGCACCGACATTATAAGTAACTTGCCCTTTTTGTTTATTGTTGGTTAACACAGTGTACATTTGCACTGTTCAGCATTCTGTTTTCATCAGATCGTTGCATGTTTCAACAATTGTGGCTTAGAACGTGTACTGACAAAATCATGAACAGAAATATTTTGTTTTTATTTTGGCCTTTAGCCAAGTTTTTAATGATGGAAATTCAGCTAATAACATGAAATCAGTTCTCAAATGTAGACTCTGAAATCGTTGCTGAAAAGTTTTATCTTCACTAAGAAAATATTTTCCCAAAACTTTTTAACCAGAAAATAAAAAGTACAGATAGGTAGCTGGAGAGTACATGTAGCTCTAACATCCCTCTTCCTGTCCTGCTCCTACTGAACAAAAATCTTATTTTTAGATTTAGAAAACCTCCCAAAAGGAGGGGCAGATTTAGTTTGAAGTCTGTTAATGCTCCGATAGTCACACCCAATCCTATGAGCCAAGCATTATGCCTGCACTGCCGTGACCCTATCAATTATTCACCATCATGATATCCGCATCAACACTGGGCCAAGATACCTTTGAAATCTACTTAAATAAACGGCTGCATCATGCATGCATCCCCGCATGATGGCTTGGCTGGATAATACATGAAACTTTGTCACTTTTCCTCTGCGAGTCATCGTTTTTTGATGCCGTCACACTCCACTGCTCCCACGCACCCATCAATATTAGAATGTGTATCCTAGCACAACATAAATCAGGCCACATCAAAATTCACTCATCAGACATTCTGGCAATCAGTTTCCCATTTAGGCCCCCCAATTTTGTGACTTTCTCCTGGAGGAGCCGGTCGCTGACACTCACTCAAGGTGGTGATGAGGGTGGGGAATGGGCTTACTGAAAAATGGCCAAAACGTCCAAACTTGGCATTTTGGGGGTTTGCCGTTGATGATTAACTGTTGGTTGGCTTGCAAATGAGATTCAAGGCTGCACGCTGGAGTGAACGCCAATTCCCGACTGAGCACCAGGCCTCACTGTAATTACCAGTCGGGGCTCACGTTTTCTCTTTTCCATCCCTTCCTCCCGGTCATTTCTCTCCCCGCTGCTGATCCACGCTGTCACGATGTCCGACTCGGCCAACTTGTGTCTGCTGAATCACAACTCCGTCCATGCCATCATGGCACCGGAACTTCAGAAATGGAAGCCTTACTTTGAGAAAGTAAGTCACTGCATTGCATGTACATGTACTTTGTGTTTCATTCTTGCTTTTGACATGCGTTATTCTCAGCTCTATTTCTCTCCATTCCTTTCTCTAATAGCATGATGTTAGTGAAGTACATGTATCCACTTTTTGTGCCAGTGAAATCTGCAGCAAACCTTCATTTGTCTTTATTGTCATATTTTTATCAACTTTTTGACACACCTTTCAAACAGTTTTAACAGTTGACCCTTCAATAGGAAATGTAAGTAGTCACCAGCAGAAACAACTAAATGCATAGTGAAGACAGTAATGTGGGGCTTACATGTGCTGGTTTAGGGCCAAATACTATTCCTCATCGAAGCAGGATAACAAGAAATAAGTATAATTCGTGTTGAAATTGTTTTCATCTTCGGTACATTTGAATTGTTTGCTTTGTTAAATCAAGTGATTCGATTCTAAATTTTCTTTTTAGAATCTCTTTTATTCCGATTCCTTTTTCTTTTCTTTTCTAAAATAAGAAATAAAAAATATTTCAGTTTCTTCATTGTAATTCAATTAGATAAAAGCTTTCAAGACAGTTCTTGCTTTTAAAAGCCAAACCTTTATCTGTCAGGTGAGGATCGGCATGTGTAGGTTCTGAGAAAGACAAATGAGCCCCACAGATGTGACACAGAGAAGGGATATTCATTTATGCACACGTTTTCCTGGCAACAAATGAGAAAGTGTCAATCATGATGTCAGCATATTTCATCTCTTCCTTTTTTTTAATGATGTCATTCGTCAGACTGATTTATGCAGTCAGGCAGTCAACAAGCCCCTTCTGGGCATAGAGCCAAGAGCAAAAGGTCATCTCTTGAAACTCTTTAGAAGGAGAAATGGTGTCCTATTTTTGGAAAAGTGATACTCCCTCTTGAGCATCACTCCTTTAATACTAGAAAAGGTTAAATGGACAATTTGGTATTGAGGATGTGTTAAGTTTGACAAAGATTGTTCTAATGGGGAATAAGTTAGAAGTTCAACATTTGCATGCTTAAAAGGTTCATACATGTAGGTGTTCATGTTCATTCTATGAAAATAAAACTTGGTACATGTATGACAATAATTCAGCTGTGCATTTTTTTGGGATGCGGCAGCAGTATTTCTTAAGCCCCGCTGACCAGTCATGCACACACAGGAAGAGCCTCCAAACAGGTGTTAAATAGTTAAGTTCTCCCCAAATTTTCCACATCATTAAATATGCATAGGCCCCTGATGAGCTGCCTGCTAGATTCATTAAATCACCACCACACCTTTTTATCTTTGCCCGGTGTATCTTCAAGGTCGACAAGTTTTGTAAATGCAACATTTCCTCCTCCTTTCCCTGCTTTTTTTTTTTTTTTACTCTCCCACTTCGCGGTAGGCGGTGTGTGTATAATACTATATTGTGGGTCAGTGGGATGCAGCGATTGGGTTACAGAACCCCATCAGGCAAGGTGCTAGTGTGGAAAGTGAGTCGCGTGGTGTGGTTTGACTCAGGATGGATGACTGTTTGCTGACTGTAATGGCCGCTAAGTGTAGTAGTGCAGCAGTCAGTCTCCAAAGCCATACAATTTTTATCAGAATGTTCAAGTGTGCAACTTTCTCTTTCCAATGTGGGATGCCTTCACATCCTGCCTATATCTTGTTAGATCTGTCATTGATTTCAAGAGTTTAGTGAAATTACTGCCAATGCATTTTGTAATTTCAGTCTACTCCAAAAATAATTTACATTCCAGTAGCAGTTTGTTGTACAATCCAAATGCAAAATTGTTTGATGCGCTTTCATCTTTGACATCATGCAGATTTGTATAAATATTTCCATTCTCATGAAGCTAGTCACAATGTGAGAACAAAATAATAATAATTACAACAAGGGAATCAAGCTGCAATAGATGTTACTATTGGATTTATTACCAGTGGCAATCACCTCACAGGTTGAGGTCATTTGTATTTGCCTCATGCATTTCACCAACTCTCTTCAGTCTGCGATAATAGTGTACATGTACCTGTACATGTCAAGTCATGTGCTAAACTTGCATAATTGTCTGTGCCAAAGCCATTTAATGTGACAAGCTAATGGCAAATTAAAGCCATAGCCTCAAAAATGTGTAGCCCATTGTGTGCCGGACATCAAAGACGGCAGGCCATTATTGGATATACATCTCGGAGGTGACGCGAAGATGATATGGGAGGGGGGATTGGACTCAACCCCACTCCTGAACCAGGGAGGAGAATTTAAAGTCTGAGTTGAAAAACTTCTAACTTCTGAAGTTTCACAAAAGGACTGACTCATCAAGGCTCGTGATTTTAATAACGACTGAATGGAGCTGATATTTTACTACATTTGCGTCAGAAATCCCACTACCATCATCACACGGAAATTTTATTCGCTTGAGTCAAAAATTATTGTTTGATTAAACAGCTGATGTGTATTGTATGAAGTGACACTTGTGCCGGCACTTTATATGTAACTATGTCATGTACATGTATGTATTTGAGAGCAATTTTCTTAAAATGTATTTATTTCACCGTCTGTCCTCAATTTGCCCACGCAGACTTCCATGCTGACCTTTTCAGCCCACCTGAAATATCCAATTCACATGTATTTACAGATAAGCAAGAGAAAATTCGCAATGTGTTTTTTTCTCGTTTCCATTTCAAGTTGGAGTATTCACAGGGATTCAGTATGCAGACCATCCCATTGAAACTGAGATTATGGAAATCTGAAACCAGATCTTGTCATAGTCTTATACTGATTTATTCATAATCAAATTAGTTTTTTTCAGAGTTCATGCACCTGGGTCGCAGTAAATGACTAACTTTAAGCTGCTGCTTTGATTTTCTCTCATTGTTTGTGTCTTTCACTCTTTGACCTGAGCTGGTGGTTCATTTCACATTCTGTTCGTCATTTGCAGTCAATAATTCACATTTGCCCTTCCCTGGATTGAGTTCATTAATTTTGATTCAGACTGCGTGGAAGTGGAGGCCTAACTTATTCAGAAAGAGTTTACATATTTATGGCTTAAATACTCTAGGTACATGTAACTGTGTGGTACAGTTACAGTTTACATGCAGAAGGGAGCAGTTAAGATCAGTTTTTCCACTTCCTACTGTCTGGCACTGGCACATGTACCAGGATTTGGGGGGGGGATTTCAGAATTTTTCTCTCCAAACTTCTAAAATGTTAGAGATTTTATCATTCATGTTTTGCTACTTTTTGGCTCTTTAAGCGGAAACCAAGTGCAAGACTGACAGACGTGTACACGTATACTACACATGTATACTGTATGTAATCATAGCTACATGTACGTGTATGTGGGAGAGAGATCATGCATTGTATGCAGCTAAAAGCCTTGAAATCATAGTTACAAATGCTGTTATTATGTCCTCACTGTTAGATACATACATGTAGTGTGATTCATGGATTCCCTTGTCAAAATTTCTGCACGAATTCCTGTTTCATTCCTATTGAAAACATGTTTCTATTCAGTTTTTGTGCCCCAAAACAGAATTAAAACATGTTTTGATCATGTTTTCAGCAAAAAAACAGACCCTGTTTTATTCCTGTTTTCTGCACTGAAGCCTGTTTTTCTTTCTGTTTTTGTCTCTTACATACTGTTTTCTTACTGTTTTTCTTGACTTAGAAAATGTTTCAATCCTGCTGCCCTGTTTTCTGACGATTTTGGGGGTCTTACTGGTAGAATTTGTCTAAAACCACCCTCCTGTTGTATTGCTGTTTTTTTGAGGGGCTTGACCTCACCCAGATTTCACAACACATCCTTTAACCTCGGGGTGACCTTTAGGATTGTGGGAAATTTGATTTCAGTTTGTATCACACTCAGCAGTAGGACTAGGACAGCTTCGCACAGTCAAGCACTCTGATAAATACTCGCTGTTGTTAATCTACAGTAATGTAGGAAATGGTGTATATTATTAAACTGATTAAGATGTAGAAATTAGTATCACTGCAGTATGATTGTTTAACCAAATGTTGTGTTGATTTAGGCCTATGCGGTCAAACGGTCTATCTTTCACTTGTCTGTAGGCCTGCTGTCAGTACTTGCATTTGTTGGTAATGGGGAATAGCAGTGTATTTGAGAAAAATATAGAAAGATGATGGCATGAAGAAAGCTGTGTAAAACTGATCAGTTTGAAATGTTCTACGTGTATATCCCTATAAGCATGCATGCATGTACTGTATTTCAGATCAGATGTTGGGTTTGCATGGTGGGGTGCCAATCAACTAGTTAGGTGTGCGGTTACACCAAGTATAAACTCTTTTAGTGAGTGTCTCACTGATGATGGGCAGAGCATCATCCTGAGGATGGGCGGAGCGTCATCCGGAGGATGAGCGGAGCATCATCCTGAGGATGGGCTGAACATCATCCGGAGGATGGGCTAAACGTCATCCTGAGGATGGGCAGAGCGTCATCGTGAGGATGGGCGGAGCGTCATCCTGAGGATGGGCGGAGCGTCATCCTGAGGATGGGCAGAGCGTCATCCTGAGGATGGGCAGAGCGTCATCCTGAGGATGGGCGGAGCATACTGCCCGAAATGTAGAGTTACTGGTGCTTCTCAGAACAATCGCTCACTAAAAGAGATAGTTTACACATGGTGCAACCGCAAACCTGTAGTTGCTTAATTAGTAATGAAAATTAGTAAAAAATCGTGTGAAGTACGTACATTAGTACATATGTGTACAAATTATCTCCAAGGAAGTGATTAAGAATTACCACAACTGTGTAAGATACAAATTGATTTGAAGAACATATTCCCCACACACGTAGATATACCGGTACACTAGAGTTAAAAAGTCCATCCCGTGAGAGACACAAATATATGTACATGTTCATCAGTCAGTGCTACTTGTTTGTATCTTATAAATATTCAAATATGCGAATGTCTATTTTTATAAAACTGAAATAGAAAACAGTGCACATTACTGGATACAGGTTATTCCTGTGTAAAAAAAACAGGAACCTGTTTTAAAACTCTTTTCTTTCACACTGTTTTTAGCCTGATTAAAGCCTATTTTATTCCTGTTTTTAGCAGTTCCTAATACAGTCATTAACAGTTGAGAAGTACATGTGCCTGGATTTGTTGTCAAAAATTTCTTGCTCAATTTATTCAACTTCAGCCCAACACTCTCTGTCATCCTTCCCATACTGACTATAGGAAAAGTTCTTCAGTTGTTGATCTAATTAATTTGACAGAAATGGGAGTCGAACCTGCAAACTCTGGAATACAGAACTCATACTCTTTTAACTGAACCATGTGGATGCCAGCTCCTTGTGGATTTACACATGTACATGTCATTGCGGCATTTGTCACAAGTCCAAGCAAGTGATTGTGGATCCAAGTCCCATATACATGAACCCAAACAAGTTTTTAAAAGAAAATTTACAAGCTCTCATTTAATACACACATGTAATTCTGAACATTGAATCAATCTAGGGCAAAGCCTGGTATTTCATGCCTTTGAAATTGTCACTTTCTCTGTGTACAGTTTGATGTGGATGGGAAGGGCAACATCAGTATGGAAGCCTTCCAGGTGATCCTTTACAAGCATGGACTGAAGGATGAGCTGGATCCCCACAAGTTGGAAGTCCTGGAAGCCACGATCGAGGACAACACTGGTGGGAGGCTCAGCTACCAAGAATTTGTCAATATTGTGAGTACATGCACTATATACATGTACGCTGCAGCACCCAGAGATTGTTTCATACCTGCAGTAAAACCAGGTTGCAGTCATGGGTGGATGTGCCTGTAAAGAACTCCCATATTTTTCACTAAAAGTTGAGTTGGGATGGTAGTATCATTTCCAGGTACAAGTTGTGACAAGTGTGCATTTTAATTTCCTTTTTTTTTTAAATGGCAGCATGTTGCCTGGGTAACAGGTTTATCCCTGCAGGTGGCATTGTGAGTAGTCAAGTACATTACTCAACAGTATAAATACCGGTATATGTACATGGATCTAGTCTTGGGTCCAAAATGCCTTCCGGTGGTGCTGCAGTGTGTGGTGTACAATTTATGTGATTCACTGTGACAGTGCCCTCTTTTGACATGTATCAGCTGCTAAAGGCTGTGATAGCAATTCGTCTGGTGATAGTTCCTGTTGTGGAATAAACTATAGAAAGGTCTTCAGTGCAACAAAGACCTGTCATTGATCTGTGATGTGGGTATAATGGCTTTCAATTGTCAACATCAAGACCAGTGGCGTAGCTAGGATTTTACTAGTGGAGGGGCACAAAGGGGCCAGCGTCTTGGGGGGGGGGACCAGCTTTCAGTGGTGTGGTTTTTGGGGGACAAGCTTTTGTTAGCTCTGTTCAATATTCATTCCCCCCTTTTTTAGTGGGGGGGGCACTGGGACTTTGTGGGTGACACCTGCCACGCCATTGATCAAGACATCAAGTGGACAGCCATCATACATGATTTTACTCCTCAGTGCAGCTCTGTGTCCAGGCCTGAGCAGGATTAGTAGTATGTTTACTTAAACATAAGAGTGAAAATATAAGGCACTGCCGTATGGATGGCCATGCATGCACTTGAGCACCATGTCCAGTATTTTCTCTGACATAGACACAAGCGTGGGGTTATGCACTTTCAGTTGAAAATTGGGTCTCAGACCACATCTGAGTTGACAGGCTGTACTCAGCTGGGAGCAGTGCATACAACTGCATGTATGGAAATTGGCTTTAGCTGCTAGCTTGTGGATGTGGTAAAGACTCACTTGAGTGTGCCATCCATCCCACAGCCATAAGTTTTGAGCACGGCTGTTGCATGAGCATGTACTGTTCATTTACACTCAATCAATTCTTATACATGTACATGTATATGTGAACCAGTGCATATGACATGTTATTCGTTGATTCTGTCTTTAATAGGCCACCCCAGTGACTCAAAGTACATGTACATGTATACTGGATGAATGTTGCTGCTAGAGTTGTTGCTTCCTAATAATTACACGATATGTTCAAAGTCATTAAAGAGACCAAATATAAAATGTCACAAATACTCATGCTTCAAGATTAAAACACGTAGCAATCCATTACTCAAAATTATTGTAACGGGCTGTCAATATATAAACAGTTTACCCTACAAAAAGACTTTAATTGTTCCTACTGTACAAGTTATTGTCCGGTCATTTATTGTTTTCAGTATAATGGACTCAAAGAAAGAAGGGAAGCTCTCAAGTAAGGTTGGGAGGAGTGGGAATGTCTAATCCCATACTCTTGTATTTTTCTTCACAATGCCTCAGTGTTCGCTCAGAAGTCATCAGATTTCAAAGGTTGCATTCTGTGTCTGTATTTAAAAATTTTAATCAGAATGTTCATTGGATTGTCTTCTATACATAGTGCAACACAAAGCAATTTTCATCTGTTAACATGTGTGTCACACTGATAGTCAGGCAAGCATTCAAAATTGTGAAACTTTGTGTTCTCCTGACAAGCAGTTTCTGTTTGTAGGCTTGTAATTTCAGGTGAAGTACATTGTACAGTTGCTCTCGACATAAAGAACATAGTTATAGCAAATTATTGAATTGCAAAAAATCCCAAGGTCTTGAATTCTATTTCTTTTCTTTGTGTTTCCACTCCTCTCATAATAAAATCCCGGTTATAACAAGATAAATGTCCTTTTAACTTTGTTATAATGAGAATTGACCGTGGTACATGTACATGTATGATAGAATTCTTGCCATCTTGTGCACAAAGCATTCTAATTACTTGAGACAACTACCCACAGCCGCCTGAGGATGAGACACCATGAATCGTTACCTGCCTCAATCATCACACCTGATTAGCTCCCACTCTGTGGCCCACATCGACCGAACTCACTGATGCGTGACGAGGCAGTCCCACTTGGCCAAGACTGGATTTTTATGATTTTTAATTTATGTTCATCCCCTCAAGGAATGGCAACATTTTATACGTGGACTCATGTATGTGTGCTCGTGAGTGAAAATCCTGCAAAATGAGTGCAGAAATGCACAGTTGATGAAGATAAATAATGTACATAGAGTTGTGGACTACAGACATATGCATTATCTCATGTTTGAAAAGGCCAATGCATATGTGACTAATGCATGATATTGTAATAGAGAAACCATGAACGTGCAATGCGTCAAAGATTGTCTGAAGGACATAGTTCTGGTGATGAAGAGATGTGACTATGCTCTATGATGCAAACATGGAAGAGGTCACCTACATGTAATTAAGGACATTTGTACCGAGTCCAGACTAACTGTTGGACCACTTGTCTCTGGTTGACACGGAACACACACAATTTTCCTTATTTGTTCCACAGAGGACGTGTACACTCGTTTAAGAATTCCGTTTTTCATTTCCACTGTTGACGTATTATTGCATCGTGCTTAGTTGGGTCAAAGCACGGAAGACGATCCCACACACAGACACTGCTACCGTGTGGAAACCCTCCCCCCCCTCCGCAAAAAAATAAACCGGAAATGCCTTTCTTGAGTAATCAGAATTAAATTGGGGAGCCCACACCATACACAAAAGTGAGAAAACGGCTGAAACAAAAGAACTCAGGGGGAAAAGAGTGAAAATACTGATATCTAAACTCAAGAGTTGTGCCTCCCTACCTATTTAATAGGTGCCATAAATCATTTGCAAGCATGAAGAATCTGCAAAAAATGCCCCCCAGCAGCTTTTTGGGGAAGACAACCTGACATTAACTGGTTAAGCATTAATGCAAATCTGACACAGTCCTTAGAGGAAGGGAAAAAACCAATGTGATCAAGTAGTACTGAGCTTAGGAAGGGATAGCCTGAAAACAGGATAGAAATAGCGTTAGTGCAATGTAAAATCATCTTTCATTGTTGTGTTGGTTCCTGAAAACGGTATCAAATTACTCATAAAACTCAAATAGTCCCACTCCGTATGTGCCAAAGTGCATTGCCTTTGACCCAGTCCGTACATGTACATGTACATATGTGTTTACCACCTAAAACCGAATAATAGTAATTAATAATGCATTGATTTACATGTATAAAGCGCACATTTCATACAGATATGTTTAAATGCACTGTAGAATGAAGACATTAAATGTGGTCAAGTGAATGGCGTACAAGGGTGCCTCAGGCAGCGGCCAAACGACCCACATCCACCTACATTTATATAGAGGAGACAACAAGAAGCAGTTACAGATTAAGAGGTGGCAGGAAAACCCCAGAGAAGAAATTTCTGGGTAAAACCCATGGAATCAGGTAGGGACTGAAAACCCAATCCACATGTGGACCGAGCCAGGAATCGTACCTGGGTGAGGTGAAAGAGTTGAAAGGCGAGAAAAGAACTACTTAGCCAACCGGACTGTCTGACTGAATTAGCAAAAGTTTCTTTAATGCCTGCATAATTATCCCTTTGGTGCAGCATGTTAAAACAAATGCAGCAAGAAAAAAAAAATTCAAAATGTTGATGTGCTCTCCTCTCTACTTTTTAACAGATGAGCGACAAAAGGACCTTGAGTTTCTCAATTGCTGTCCGCACCCGTGGCGAGAACTATGACACAGAGAGCACCCTTCAGCTGACTGAGGTCAAGCCCCCCTACCGGGAGCGGCTTCTCAAGCTGGTGGCTGATGAGGTCCTGACGAACGACGAAGACAGGAGGAGTTTCCTTGGTAACTTCGTCTGGTGTCTTCCCCCTCTAGTCATGCTGTCTATCAGCTGCATTGAGGTGAGAAACTTTGCATTTCTGCTCCTTTTTGAGGTGGGGGACGGGGGGTTGATGAAGTGTTGGAGTATTTATTCATTATTAGAGGGAATCATTATTATCATTTCTGCAAGGTATTATCCCCCAAATAGGTAAGCGTTCAGTAATTACCTCCAGCATGTTCAAGTGAATCATAATCCGTGCTGTTGGCTTGCTTTACTGAGTAGTGAGCACCCACAGGTTTTTTTACAAATTGCTAAAAATGTGCCTTATTTTCATCAAAAAAGCCATGTTTATAATAGAAACTGAAAACAACTTAAGTTACAGAGCTTGTCTTATCCTAGAAACAGTACTGTGGTGACAGCTGGGTATGTAGTTTGCCCCACAACAAACTAGTCATAGGCTCTTGTCTAACATAATCAAATCATTTGGAATTTGTCATGAAACACTCACAAAAATGTTGTCTTTTCAAGAAGATTCCAGGTCTGGAAAAACAAAATGTCAAGTACAAGGCACCAGTAAATATATCTATGGTTTGTTGCAGTCAGTTTGCGACTAATAAGCTAATACTTGGTGATTCAGACAGCAGTTAACCACTTGCTGGCGAGTGCTTTTAAAAATGCGGTGCCTACGTACGGGTGATTTTGTAATATCTTTGATTTTCGAAAATCTTCAAAAATTCTTATCTTCTTTTCCTGAACGCCTAAACCCCATCGAGTAACTGTCTGGTGGCTTCTCTAATCTGACAGACAACATCTATTGATGCCCAAGTATTTCAGCCATGCCTGCCACCTTGTAAAAAGAGCCCAGGTTGTGTGGTGTTACATAAATTAGTTTTGCTCCCGAAACTGGAACAGTGCGCTCCTGTTGTCTTTTCAATACGGGCCAGATTAGCACACAGCAGTATTGTATCGCTCATGACTGGAGTGCCGGAATGCTTTTGTCCCTGGTGGTAATCTGGTCACGCTGAATGCCACAAACAGTGGTATAACCTTTCAAAACAATGACGGATTTCCTCTGCTATTGACAACTGAAAAACTGTTGGCAATTCCCAGCAGCTTGGTCTTTTGTTCCAAGTATGGTCTTTTGTTACAAGGTCCAGCTCTTTTGTCCGATTTCGGGCACCCCAGCTATGCGTACAAACCCAAGGTTCCAGAAACCGGGTTTCCCAGTAGCATACGGTTAACAACTGCTTCCTCCACTTGCTTTTTCAGGGTTCATTCAGTAGGTTGATTATTTTTTATTCATTACAAAATTTGTTTCTCTTTTAGTGACTTAAAGGCAAAACATTAACATCAGAAAAAAAAAGCCAAGCAGTGGTCACTATTCAATTCATATACATGTACATGTATGTTTGGTGCAGAGTGCATGGCCAAATGCCACAGGCTGGATCAATATTTTAAAATCGATATCAGGGCACTGAATATTAGGAGCAGGATTAGGACAGCATAATGGATTGAGAATGTAAAATCAAGACACGGAAAATAAAGGATAAAAGCATCATAATTGAATGATATGTTGCAAAAGTATTCACATCAACTGTTGCCTTTCTAGTATCCTTATTGGCTATCATTTGTTACTAATGAAAATGAACGGGACGAACAGCCTATTTTGCAATGGTCAGACAAAGCCCGTAGCAAGAGGGATCAGCACATAGAGACAGGCCCCTTTAATATTGTTCATGCAGGTGACCGCAAACGTGTTAGAAACTGACACATTTACTGATACAGGCCAGCACCATCATGTGTGATATGCATGACTTCGGCAGTCCCATGGGAATCTTTGACGGTGCATGGCTGATGACTGTGGTGACAATGCACGCTAAGAATAGCTTTGCGAAAATCCACGAGATGCCTTTTGTGAAGTTGGATTTCATAACCAACGATAATTATTATACATTTTAAGTCTTTAACTTTTGAATCCTGATAAATATTTGCCTTGGTTAAGTCACTACTTGTAATAACTTAACAACGGATCCAGAAAAAAAGAAATTAGACCTTGATATCTAGGATACTTATCAAAGATGAGACTGCATGTGCACAGTGCTGTCATCACAGCTTTTGGTAAAACTGCACAGACTGCATCATGCGCCTGAATGTCTCTTTAATAATTACATGTATGCATCATGGCTTTTGTGCTCTATTTAATTTGTTCAGGGTTGTTTGGTGTTTGTTTGTTTGTTTGTTTGTTTTTTTCTTGGACATGATGGCATATACAAGGACTTGCATCACCTGGAAACATCCAGGCATGTCTAGTAACAAGTTTCCTCTCTCCAGGAAACCCTGTAAAACAGATTCAACACGGCGTCCATGGCCTAAACCTCATACATGTACTTGGACAGTTTGAGGATATGCGATGGTCTCAGTGTTTTGTTTTTCTGTTTTTAAAAGGAGGTGCTAAATGTGTCCCCCTCTGGGAAGCTTGTGAAAACAATCTGTGGGCTGCTGAAATGAACAAATGTTTGCATAGCCAAGATTATATTGCCAATGTTAATGACTAAATACTATCAGGCAAATACAGTGTCTGTTCCGAGATTTCCGGTAAGGGAAAGGGATTGTTGTCATTGGTTATACCTTTGACAAGATGCAGTTTCAAGAGATTTGATTTACATTTTTCTCAGGTTCTGTATGTTAGGTCTAGTAAGTACAAAGCAGATGATACACAAACTCCTGTAGATGAGTGACTGTACACCCTAACTGTCTGCATGATGGACTTTATATCACTGGTCATGATGGGGAACTTTTGCGAAGCAGATAGCTCTTGTGTGTGAAGGCTTAATTGGTAAGATTTGAAGCTTTGCATGGTGGAAGAGACATGAGAAATAGGTTTGCGGGTACACCATGGAATCGGTCTCTTTTGGGCGAGGTGTGTGGTTCTTAAAAGAACCGGTGGATGTTAACTCAGCGTTTCGGCCAGTGTGCTCTGGCCGTCTTCAGGAGAGCGTCTTAATTGATGATTTTGTCAACCACAATTGAAAGGGATTTGAGAAATACATGAACATGTATGTTCCTAATTCATTCACAATGTATGCTGTGGTTAAGTTTATCGTTCATCATAGCAGCTACATGTACATGCAGCACAGAGACATAGATGTACATAAGTAAGGAATTCTTCCCAACCAAATATGCCTCTGTTCTCCCTGTCTTCAGTAGCTTGGCTTCTACATTGGCATTGGAGTCAACATGACCCGTACTGACGTCAACACCACCCTTGCTGACTTCTGGACGGGACCAGTGCCCAAGAGCAGCTGGATGATCTTCGACCCGGAGAAGAAGATCCAGTTCTGGAGATTTGCTACATATATTTTTGTACACGGAGGGTAGGTGGAGTTAATTACTCTAGCCAAAGAGGACAGGTGTTATTCCAGCTTTCTAGTCAAAATGGTGCCTGACAAGACCACCATGGAATCTTCTCTTTTTAATGAGCATTTCAGTATTAATTTTGAATTTAGTGGCATCCAAATTGAAGTGTACATGTTTATATTGGGGTTGACATGGTCTTGGCAAAAGATTTGATCACATGTTGAGATGTACATGTAGTTGCTTGTAACAACTTGTGCGTGGTCCTTTCCCACGTGCACAGGAAACAAGCAAAGCCAATAATGATATAGCTGCCACCCCAACGTGCCCCTATTGTACATGTACAAGGAGCTTTTCTTGATGCTCCAATCCAAACAATGTGTGCAACACTGATGGCCACCTTTCATTTTGAAATTTGGAGGAACATCAAGCCCCATGTGAAGTAATAGTGGCTATATACGTGTTCTCCGTCTTCCAAACCATAAGCAATTCTCCAAACACCTCTTGGCGACAAACGAGATTTATCACATGGTACAAGCCTAACTTAACTTTGCACTATGTTTAGGTTATGTTTTCACTTACTTGCATCAAGAGAAACACTCCATTTATCTTTTCTTCTTACAGCATAGAGCATCTTCTTTTTAACTTAGCTGTGCAAGTTTTACTTGGTGTTGCCATGGAGATGGTCCATGGGTCACGGAGAATTGGTGGTCTTTACTTATCAGCAATAGCTGCAGGTAAGATGTGTTTATACATGTAATTCAGCAGAGACTTTACAAAACTGGACTTTGCCTGTGACTTTATTCTTCTGTTTTTACAAATTTTGTGCCCCTGAGGTAAAAGGCTTTGCCTCATTGAAGCACCATATTCTGCTACTTGAAAAGTCCAGTTGCCTGATGTGAGGATAAACTTTAGAGAAGTTTCATTGAGTTCCAGTGATGGGCTTTCAGAACTCTGAACTTGAGAATGTAGACAAAGCTAGTTTATTGAAAAGGGCTTGCAAAATCAGAAACAGTTACAAAAGTGTTCTTGCATGAACCACAGAGGGCGCCAAGTTGTCTTCTCAGTTGGGCTAAATCAACTGGCAGTGGCTTGGGGTAACATGAATCATTGGAAGTGGCTGCAGCCACTACTATGTATCTATAGGAAGTGGCTGCAGCCACAACCATGCATGTGTAGGAAGTGGCTGCAGCCACAACAATGCATATTGTGGAAGTGGCTGCAGCCACTACCATGCATCTAAAGGAAGTGGTTGCAGCCACAACCATGCATCTCTAGGAAGTGGTTGCAGCCACAACCATGCATCTATAGGAAGTGGTGGCAGCCACAACCATGCATCTATAGGAAGAGGCTGCAGCCACAACCATGCATTTATAGGAAGTGGCTGCAGCCACTACCATGCATCTATAGGAAGTGGTGGCAGCCACAACCATGCATCTCTAGGAAGTGGTTGCAGCCACAACCATGCATCTATAGGAAGTGGTGGCAGCCACAACCATGCATCTATAGGAAGAGGCTGCAGCCACAACCATGCATTTATAGGAAGTGGCTGCAGCCACTACCACACATCTATAGGAAGTGGTGGCAGCCACAACCATGCATTTATAGGAAGTGGCTGCAGCCACTACCATGCATCTATAGGAAGTGGTGGCAGCCACAACCATGCATCTCTAGGAAGTGGTTGCAGCCACAACCATGCATCTATAGGAAGTGGCTGCAGCCACAACCATGCATCTATAGGAAGTAGCTGCAGCCACAACCATGCATCTATAGGAAGTGGCTGCAGCCACTACCATGCATCTATAGGAAGTGGTGGCAGCCACAACCATGCATCTCTAGGAAGTGGTGGCAGCCACAACCATGCATCTATAGGAAGTAGCTGCAGCCACAACCATGCATCTATAGGAAGTGGCTGCAGCCACAACCATGCATGTGTACTGTTGTTTACAGACACATGTTTATGTATGTCCGCTTTTCTCGACATACCCCCCCCCCGTAGGGTGTAAATTGTCTGCGGAAGGGATGAAGTTGTTAATCTTAAGCACCAGTTTCAGCTGCTTTGCAAGAATACTTTTGCAAAAACAGGCTTTGCTTATTCGCACCATTGGTTTCTCGTAAGTTTTGGCACATTTCATGAGTAGGAAATGTAGTGCTGAACTATTGAACACTAACAGTGGTCTAATTTTTGTGAGCCAAGTGCCCTCTTTACCTACAGCAATATCCAAGCGTGTGCCTGATTTACTGTCTTGTATCTGTGTTATCATTCACCATGCAGGGTCCATGGGTTCCTCTGTCCTCGACAGGACAAGTTTCTTATGTGGGGCTTCAGCAGGCTCATATGCTCTCTTGTCTGCACACCTTGCTAATGTATTGCTGGTGAGTTGATGTCTGCCAGTTTTCCTGCGTTTTTTAAGGAGTGGCATTGCCTACAAAATTACTGATTTTCATACTCTGTGTCCCCCCTCTGTGTTGAACAATACTTCTCTGAAATCTTTACTTATGTTGTGCCTTGAAATAATATTCATCTAACCCCTTCGCGCAGGGAATTTCTTCCCAAAAGCCGACTCCAAGAATTCCAGCCTCGCTTGACCCTGCAGGCCACCGGCCAAACCGCAAATTCTCGGTTTGTGGCCCTGTGTGCTCTGCACGCTTTGAATTACACAGTGAAAAGGCTGATCGTTCGGTTTCATGTGGCTCTACTCACGCTTCCACATTCCCGTTGCCTCTTTTCAAANCTGGGCTACACACAAAGACCAATTACTATATACACAAGAGCCAGGGTGTGCCTTCTTTCTCCGTGTTCGCTCGAACGTGGGCTGAGAATAATAGCTGAAAAGCGGGCTGAGGATCTCAATTTTTACGGCATGTCTAGCCACCTCCCGGCACGAAGGGGTTAAAAAAGAAGATTATCAATGTTTTCACAACTGTGTGTTGATGCTACATATACAATGAAGCTTTGATGAGAAACCAATAATGAAATGGGATTCAATAAGAGATCAAGAATGGTATGACTTTGAATGTTGAGCAAACAAACAGTTTTTTCTGGAAGATCAAACCAACTTTGCTTCCATTGAAGCAAGTACTATTACCCACCACATCCCTGTAATCTAAACCTGGTGGTATTCAGAACAATTGACAATTGCACCCTTAACCCCAACCGCCAAGCATATTGTTTGGCTTACACTACACATTACTACTAAATGCTAAGTAATAGTCTGAGCCTGAAGGACATAGTGCTACAGATTACTACTTCTTGCTAGGTTACTTCCATTGTTACTCACACAGAGAACAATAAAGCCATGCATTCATAGTGCCAAAGCACTGTATGGTACATTGTCTTATCTATTGTATCTTATGGCTTCACAGAACAATAAACTCATGTCCTCTTACAAGCGACAGGAATGAATACTACATTTTACTACCAGTAGTAATTTGTAGTATTATGTAGGGTTAGGGTTAAAGTAGTGCTCAAGATTTATTCAAATTTTCTGAATATTCCTTGCAGAATTTTTCTGAGATGAAGATAGGAGCATTGAGAGTGGGTGTTATTCTAGCTTTAGGTAAGAACAACATTAGAGTGAGATTAGTGCCAAATGTACAAAACCAAACCCGATATACCATCGTTTTGTATTTATATGCCCTTGGAACTCAAAATACCTCCGACAGTTTGCGTACTCCAATTGGCCAAGAGGGCCCTATATGGACTACTTGTATCTAGCCATTTCTTTTGTGCTTTCTGCGCTTCCTGTCCTGCAGTAAGCATAGACTTTGGCCTGGCAGTCTACAGAAGGTGCTCTGGTCTCAAGACGGCGACATCCTTTGTAGCCCACCTGATGGGCATTGCCGTTGGCCTGACTGTCGGGCTTTTCGTCATCCGCAACTACAACCAGCGACTGCATGAACGTCTGATGCTGTGGGTGTTCACGGTCCTCTACATCGCTTTTGTCATGTTCGTCATATTCTGGAACATATTCTACAAGCCAGCAGTATAGCGTCCGGTGACATGCCCTGCTAGAGGCCTCTTCCATCCTGGGTTTGTAAAACAACAAAAACTGTGTATTTATATCAGAAATGCATCCGGGGTGTTTTCACTGAAGTTGATAGTTTGATCAGCTTGAATACCCCGGGATAGTTTTATTGTAGGAATAACTGGAGGGCTTTTGTAAACTTTGTCGTATCTGCTGAGAGTTTTAGCAGCTTTTGAGAGATATCCAAAGAAAAAAAATTGTTTTCGCACTTAGTGAATGTGAAACATGTTTAGGTGTCTTGCATTGCGTGTTCAAATTTAGTTATTTGGTGTGCTCGAAATCGGTTTGAGTATGTGCTATTGGTAATTGCTGTTAATACTTTATATCCCCTCCATCTTCCTTCGAAATCCACCAGAAGGCTCGGGAGAATTTGGGCAAGAATGAAAAAGGTCAAGCCATTCCACTCTTTGTGCGTTGGGTTTGATACCTAAAATAGTGCATTGAATGTCTGCATGGCGGAGGGTAGTGCACAACTTGGGAGGGTTGTAGCCAAAAATGCCCATCCTGTTAGGATTAAATTATCAAAGATAGATACATGTAGTGTGGCAAAAGAGATGGTAAATCACGTGGTCAAAACAGACAGCACGTTGCATTCTATTACAGGTGGGTAAGATCAACTGCATTTGGACCTGTTTTTTTCTTGACGCATGTAGTTGCCTCTTTAATACTGCATCTTGCAGAAGCTTAGGAAGTAACAACAAGTGTGCTGTCAACTTACATCTTGAAGTGCTAAGCTTGTGTTGAGATCATTCTGAAAAAAAAAAGCTAAATTTGTTAAGCTGCTGAGCTTGGAAATTTGCAAGTCACCGAAAATCTGTTAAAGAAAAATGGGTTACCAGCAAGGAAATCATGGTATGTACATTTGTTGTGATTGGTAGTCTGCCGTTTTTTCTGAGTGCATACATGGAGATATACTGAGCAAGATTGTGTGCTAAGCAGCTTTGTGAAGAGTTGTCAACACTTCTGTGTTCGGGATAAGTTGGTAAAAAATAGAAAGATGTAACAGGTTGATGTGTTTCTACTATTCTGAGCACAGTTCAGAGGGTTTTCCTTAATCTGGACTTCACCTGCAATTTTTTGGCAAAGTTGCCCAAGTTTGAAGGGCAGGTGTGTGCATTGTATTTGTTTATTGATCACCTTGCACAAAATCAACAAGGAAACATACTCCACAAAATAAGAATTGAAGTCAGGGACAAATGAGAACTTTGTTTACAAGCAGCCATTATTCTACACTGAAATATTTTGCCATTGCAAAAAGGTCATTGAAAACCCTTTGTACTGCCAATAATTTTCATTTATAAATGAAAAGTGAAGTTTAATAAGGGCGTTTCACAGTAGGCCAATCACAATGCGCGAAATTTGTCGACCCAATGCGCGTTTGGAAATGGTAAAAAATTTCGCCTGTTGCGATTAGCCAACGCGTCGCAAACTCTTGGAGGCGCACTTTTGTGAATTGCCCATATTAGGCATGGAGGTGTATGCCATATACTGAAGTTACCAAAACCTGCGTGTCGATTTAGGGGGCTGTCCAAGTGTTAACTGTATTTTCAGGGTATCACAAAACACACGTAGGATTGGGTTGAGGGCAACCTGTCATTTCAGACACGGAAAACAACACTAACTGTTTAATTTAAAATTATTTTTGTGTTGGTGAATTGTTGAAACTTGTGAAAAGTCTAAGGCACATGTAGTTGTCATGGAAAAGGAACTCTGGCAATCCACATGGAGAGTCAAACATTTGATCTGACATGCTTGAGATTGATATAGCATCTTTGATTAAAAGCCTTCACAATCAACCATTATTTGGTCCTCTCTTAATTCTCCAGAGGAGAATTAAACTCTGAGCCACCTGTTGTACTTGCTTCAGCATGTGTGCACACTTGTACAGCGGTAATTTGTGTTTTCTCACTCGATATGCTCATCAAAAAAAAAAAATTAATAATACTGAGCTGGAAACTTCAAAAGTCAGGGACCAACAATCAGGAAGTTGGGGCTTGGAAACTGTCAGTTCAACTCACACGCACCTGCAGATATGTGGAGAGCAAAATAAACCCTGCCGAAATTTGATACAAGTTTAGTTTTGATGTAACCTTAAATCAACAACTACTTCAGAAGTGCCAAGCACAAGCGCTTTGCATTCACCTACATGCAGTGTGATTTTGAACTGAATGCGTTTGCAGGTAAATTGCTCCCACTGTTTCAAACAGGGCTTGTAGGAGAGCAAATTAAATATGCACCGACACATGATGTATCCAGTTCGTAAGTGTGACGTCACTTCACTTTGAACCACGCCCACTGCACGTGTACTGCACAGAGACATGCATTGATCGCCGTTTACATGGAACCGGAAGTTAACAGGCAACTTCAGCAATCGTCCAATGGGAGCCTGCAAATTGTGGCGCATCTGCATTTGTGACGAAGTCACTTACGAACCGGATAGCAGCAAAGAAATATAAATTACTGTATAATTAAAACAGGTGACTGTGCTTTATTGATTTTGAGAGGGCATACTGCAGTAGCTGTGCTTTGCCCGTGGTAATTTGCCTGTACATAAAGATTTGGCTCCGGCCACATAGGTGTAATTAGATAATGTGGAAGATTTGAAATACATGTAATATGATACCCTCCCTGGTGGAGGCAGGGATGTGTCTCTAAACAGTGTAATGCTGACTTTTTAACCCCCTTGTAAAAATCAATCGATAAACTGCCTAGTATGTCTAAGACGGACTTTGATTGGAGGGGGGGACATGACAGTGTTTTGTGGTAAACAGGTTCTTACTCTTGTGAAATAGGGAGTTGTTCTATGTGTATTTATGGAAAGGATAAACTGACATAAAAGAGAGGATGTGGCTTCTTGTACGTGCTTAGACCAAACAAAATATACCTGTATTTCTGGTTACTGCTTTAACCCTAACACTCCTCAATCCTTCACCTGTCGAAGGACTGAGGAGTGTTAGGGTTAACCTAGTGAGTAACTCATAACCACTGAGAAATGGTAAAAACTAAAAGCAGACTGACACTAATGGCATCATTCCTGGTCCTAATTTTTGCATACACCATCCCCTGAAAATAACTGAATTGTATATCACTGGTTTGATATTTAAGCGTGTTAAATGTCGCTGTTTTCATTTAGTAATGCTGCTGTTTTCATTTATTACATGGAAACAATCCATAGATAGAAATTACTGTTATCTCATGCTACTTTTTGAGCCTTGAAAGCACAAACACATTTTTATCAAACTACCAACCCTAAATTTTCCACCGAGTGTAATGGAAAACAGTATTTTTTGTTTGGTCTTGTACTCGTGTGGAGGCCTTTCAAATTATGTAATATTTGTTGTAAGGTAAAATTTTATAAATAGGATTTTTTTAACTAAACTCAGTAATATCTATGAATAACAGCAATCAACTAAATACAAATAACATAACTGTGAGATGAGTTTTTATGAAGTATTATTGGAGCATTGTATTCACAGAATTCACCAGTCGAGACATCGCTGGAAAAGGTTTACAGATTATTAGAGATTGTCATAAACATCCAGACATATGAGAGGCGCATGCATAAAGCTGGTTACGGTAGGCATCGCTGAATCGTTCTCGAGGTAGCGATGTGTGTTTTTATTTACACTGGGCAGGGGGGTGAGGAATGTGGTGGAATATAGGTGACGTTGGAGAATAAGACCCAGTAATAAATTGATTTTTTGAGGGTTTGGGTGGCTTATGATGGAGCAGTGCCGCAGAAGTATACGTGGGAGGCCCATACCTCCAGCACAGAGCTGTTTATAGAGATAGCGCTACTCTCTCTATACACAGTTCTGCCCCAGCAGATGACTGGCCCCCTCCCTATTATATCTTGAAATGAGTACAAGATTTATACAGGCCCGTGGTGCATAGTTTCTGTGCACGGGTGGGTCCCCCAACAATTTCACCATATACGACTGGGTTGGAGGTTAGAACTGGTGTACCCACGGCTATGGAGCAGCACATTCTGGTGCATGTTCCATTGTTTCATTTCATTGTTTCGTTTAGATCTTTTGCAGGGGGCACGAGTGTTTGAAAGCAAAATAAGAGACTTGAAATAAGCCTATTTACAATGGGAGAGTAATGCTGAAAGATAAATGCATAATTTTAAGTCTGTCCTTTGCCGGTCACCCAGTCCATTGGAGACTGCACTAAAAGTGTCATTGCGTACGATCTGCAATAGTTGGCATGCCACTTAAATCAAATGTGCAAGTAATGTTTGTTTTTAAATACACTATAATGGTGTAAAAATTGTTTCAAAAATCGCATTATTTTGGAAGAATTTGATTGATGATCGTAATTGGCGTCATTGGACATTTAGGTAATTCATATCTCCTGTGGTTTCCTGTGTTCCTTTATTGATATGAAAGGCCTACATTTTGAAGGTTTAGAAAACGGCTCTTTGGGGTTAGGTACATGGCCTTTTTTATTACTTGATGCATGGGTTTGGGTATATCTATCTGTATTGGAGTAGCCAGCAGTATAATTTATTGTTAGGGAGTGTAAAAGTCCTCGATCTGAGAAATTCTATAATTGCTGGTGGTTTGCTCTTAGCACGCCTCGATTAAAGATGGCACTTCACCCAATGGCGGATCCAGAAATAAGTGTTTTAGGGAGGGGCCAAATTTGTCCGGGGGAATTTCGGTTATTTATTTAACCCAAGTTTTATAGCCTCTCGAAGGCATGGGGCGAAATTTTGGGGCTTTTTCACGCTGAAGAAAGCAAAATGAAATAATCTCAAAATATCGCCTTTTACTCATCTTAAAACATTTCCTCGCCCCCATTTTTCAGGAGTGTGGTGGGTGGTTCATGGTCATTCTTGGATCCACCAAATACATGTACGTCCACTTGAGTTTTCTCCTCCTCCAGACGCCGAACAGTTCTCAGCGCCACTGGTCTTAACATGGACCCGTGTAACTATTAGACTGCAGCTGTTGCCGGGCCCATTTTTTAAGGGGATATTCGAAGTATGGTAAACTGCCATAGAGTTGCACTGACAACTTTTAATTGTACATTGTGGTAAAATAATGCAATTAATGTCTGTAAGATACGTAGGACAAGATCGTTGTAACTGTAGAGAGAGGTAACAGTGCAGTGAAGGGGGCTGGATTCCCCACTTGCTGTCACTGAAAGGCATTTTGGTGTTTCATTTAAATCGTTACTTGTAGTAAAACAGAACTTTAGTTACTTTTAACTTCTTAACTAAGATGATGAATGTTCAAGGTGACTGTAGAAAGCTTCAGTGTTGTACGATATGTTTACGTTACCTCCAGACTCAAAATGAATCTAAGCAGTGGCTGTGTTCACAATTATTATTCATCTAAACGAAAAACCATATTTTTACGAATTGTAAAGGTCTTAGTACCCCCTTTACTGGCAGTAAAAAAATGAGAATTTATAAATACTGTATGCTCAGTGCTTGTCCGAGAGCTTGCGAAAAAAAAGTCACAAGCTTACTTGGGTGGGACTCGAACCCACGACCTCCTGCTTATTGGTGCAGACGTCTTAACTACTCGACCACCGAGCTTGCTGTGGTCAGCTGGCCGGTCCGAATCAGGTGTAGCAGCGGGTACTGCGAACTATTTCAAAATACATCTTGACAAAAAAAATGAGGTTTCGAACCCTTTTTGAAAGAAAGTACGCGTATTTTCAAAATTGTGTTTAACATCAAGGGCACGCGCATACCTCGCTTTTGGAACGCTTACTTTGATCAGTGTGGTTTGTCTTCCATCGACAAATATTTTGATGGATTCCTGTTAACTGAATGAAGTGTACAATAAAAATCCATGAACATTTTGTATTGCATAAAAAACTCCATAAATACCCATTAAAATGTAGCCATCCTTAGCCACAGTAAAATAAACAGAATGGGACCAAACTATATTGATTTTAAATCTAAAAGTGATTGGAATCTTTTAAGGAGGTGACTGTAGTAAAAACAAAAAGGTGTAAAAGTGGTGTTTGTAATTTGTAGTAATTTCATTAAAATGTGACAATTTTGTGCCGTGCTGCGTGATACGCTTCAGACCAACTATAGGAATTCAAGGAGCGTGATAGTTTGTATCCCCTTACATGTGACTTTGTCAGAACATGCATCTTGCTCCAATGGGACATGAGTTGTATTTTGTTACATACCTTTCCACATGTTTCGTAGCAATTTTGTTATCTTAAGACATAACTCGTAAAACATTGTCAAACATTTACCCCGGTTCTAATAGCGTGATATGTGTGACACTATGCGTGTGTTTATGGTGCCTTGTCTGGGTGCCAGAATAGTTGGAGGTATTTCCACAAGGCCCTCATTGGGTTTCCTTATGATTTCACGGAAAAGATGTTTGGAATTAACTTCCTCTAGAGGGGGAAATTTCCAAGGTACATACTTATACGTCGCAAATATGGAAGTATTTTATATGAGGGATAAGGATTCTGGTGTAGATGGGAGAGAGTTGGCATTTCACGCACTAATTGTTTGACTCACGATAACAAGGAAATGCCCGAAAAAGAGGCAAAGTTTGAAAGCAGATGTGAGGGACCCACGTGTTGTTGTCGGTGACATCACTGAAAGCCATGCATTGTCTCGTTTCACGTCGGTGCTTGGCCCAAAATGTGCCGAGCAAAGCAAACCTCATGCTTTCTGCAGCCTGTTATTTGAATGAACCAACATTGTGTCGGCTTATTATAGCCCAGTGTTTGCGGAGTATAACATTCCGTTCACAACGGATGTTCGTGCTCGGGAAGCAATATTCCATGACATCAGACCGCGACTTGCAACAGAGCCATAGTAATTCTGGTTGCACATTGGGCGTGCTTCGTCCCTTGTTTTCATGAGACATAAGTTAATACGTTCTGCGGTCGAACTTTAGTTCCAACGAAAAATTTAAACTTTTTTCAAGTGCCCATCAAGAGTGTCCTTCACTTGGTTTTGTAGTGTCCATTCATGGTTGTGTTCGACTTGCAGGAAAAGCCGATGTCAAACCTAAATCTTCCGTCTGTGATTCCTTCCAGTAATAGAATTGTTAATAAAAAAATTCCGCGTTGCAGCGGGCCAGTTCTAGATGTAAACAAGAGTTGTGTTTCAAATTCATCTGGTTTCCCATTTTCAGATTGATGATAGTGTCTAAAAAAGATTTTAGTTTTCCGGAGGGGGAGGCGTTTGTAGTACTTTAATTCTCAGAGGGGCTCCTCAGTGCGCTGCGTGGATTTTCCCTTCAAACAGATTGGCTGAACAGGAAGCTTCCACCCCCCAGAAAGGTACACGGTACCGTAGTACTGTTTCGAAGGTTTTGGCGCTTTTTCATTTCCAAAAAAATGACGCCCCTTCCCCCGCTGAATTGTTGACTCCCTAAAGTGGCGCACTTCAACGTTTCCCACATCTCTCCCCATGCAGTGTTTTCAAGATGTACTTTGCGTCGGGGAGATGTTCATTTCAATTATGGGTTTTGCTTTTACCCGACGTATATATACATTTTCCCCGACGCAAAGTACATCTTGAAAATAGTTTGCGGTACCCGCTGCTACACCTGACTCGGACCGGCCAGCCGACCCTGGCACGCTCGGTGGTAGAGTAGTTAAGGCGTCTGCACTAGTAAACAGGGGGTCGTGGGTTCGCATCCCACCCGAGTAAGCTTGTGGATTTTTTTTCGCAAGCTCTCGGACAAGCGTCGAGTATACAGATATTATAAAATATATACGTCGGGTAAGGGCAAAACCCGTAATTGAAAATCATGCATGGTGCCAAATCTCCTTGAAAAACGTCAAATTCGTTCAGTTAAACATGGTTAAATTAGCTTCACAGTATGCATTCCTTTGAACCTTTGTGAACAATTTCATTTTCATGGAATTTAGTTCGATAATCAAAAAACGACGTCCGGAAATTGGGCACAAATTCAGCTGAGTGTTCCCCGACGCGCTGCACTTGACCAAAATTCAGAGACGTCTACTTTCTCCATTCACATTTAACACGTTTGTAAGAAAATAATTTTTGTATCACAGTACATCACGTTAGAAACCACACTTCGTTACGGTACATCCAAAAAATAATCCACCGGTGTCTCGGTCATATAGAAAAAAAATATTTATCCTATAAAATGCTGAGGGAAGTGAACAAGCAGGTTGACCACCCCCGTTGACCACTATTCATGTCTTGAATGTTGCAAACAGTGCGGACCCATGCAAAAATGTCGGGATAGTGTGAAAAGATTTGAAACAAGATAACATAATGGGACGGAGAGAACACCCCCCCCCCGTGTTGGTCTTTGTTATACCGGAATCTCAGGAACTCCTCTGTCCCATAAAACGACAGCATAACAGCGTGTGATAAATGGATAAATGGATAATTATAATGGGAAAAGTGAACGAATGACCTTAACAATAACAGATCTTGTTGGATTGAGTGGCAACTTCACAGATGCACTAGCTCTTAACGGATGTCTTTACATGCCAGGTCGCAATAGATGTTTAGCAGTTCAACGATTCTATTTCACACTGCTGGGCAACGTTTTTCTTAATGACTAAACCAAAACAGTTCGTTGAAACACGTCGCTTGAAATGGTTATTTCCAAACTTCAGACTCCTGTTTCTCTTTGGACGTGTTAAAACGGTCACTCTGAAAAAAAGAAACGATAAAGCTCCCCAAAGGGAGAAGAAGGCGATCACTACATGCTTTTACGGGTACTTCAGGATTAGGGGTGAATTAGCGCTAAACTATGTTTTAATTACCAATAGTTCAAACCGTGCGCCTATCCGGGACAAAATAACAGGCCCCACTCCGTTTCTTTACTCGGGGATTGTACGGATTGCTGCCACCTAAGGGATCGATTCAAATACAATATTAGAGGGACCAGTTTCTTATACAGCGGGATGGCGAGGAATTTCTTTTTATTAACTTTGATCGCCTTTCTGAGGGTCGAGGGTACATTCGGGGGCTTTTATACGCTCTGTGAACTAAAGGAAGAGAAATGAAATAGCCCCTCCCCCAATAGCCTTCCTCTTTATATTTGAAAAATAAATACCCCCTTTTCAGTGGACCATGGATCTTGTTGGCCCCTCCCTGGATCCGCCATTGTGCGCACCTCTACATGTATACCACGGGATGCGTCGTGTGATAAAATGCGTTTTCTAATGTAGTTGGAAACAAAGCATTTCACATACAGCTGCTTCTCTCCGCTATCACAGCACAGGGATAGTAACTGTGGTCGAAGAGGTGCAGGTGATTTTTGTAAAGCCCACAATGGAACTTAAAATCACATGGCATTCCCTGCGTCTTCAAATATTCCACTGGCCCCGCCTTGATTGAGCTATTGTTCAAATCCTGAACATGTGGAGCCCACCAATAGAGAAGCACATTTCTCGGACACAATCATTCCAAATTCCAGTGGCATTCGCGCAGGTACTGGATAAAAAGCCTCGGGCGTGACTGGTTGGTCGTCATTTCTGCTTGCTGCATAGTCGCTGGCCGTGCTTCGTCGTAAATTTCAACCATCTTGAGCTAATTTCATCGACTCTAGAAGAACTTGCCGGTAAGCACTGGAGTTGCATCTCCAATTTTAACAGCATTAATCTGAATAGCCTTCAAACCTTCAATACGTTTGCTTTCAACTTATTCGCACACTACGGGGTCGATATTAAGATAAAGATGTCTTGAAATTTTTAGTAAAGGGTTTCTTAATTTCATTCAAAATTTCACTTGGTTAACCTGAACGTAAAGGATTGCGGTCATACAGTACACATTTGCTTGACGGACCAAAATTTGTTTCCGTTTTGCAGCTTACAGTGCGCATCCACCGCCACCCCTGCCTACAAAACATGACAAAAGCATCCAGCCGCGGTATGGGTACCGGAGAGAAGAAAGCTGCCGCCAAAGTGAAAGCGCCCACTGCCACCATGGCTGGAAGCGGCAAGAAAGATAAACACAGGAAGAAGAGAAAGGAGTCCTACAATGTCTACATCTACAAAGTCTTGAAGCAGGTAAAATGTGATTTTGACCTTCCGTCCCAGCATTTCTAGCAATTTCCAAGTCGCCAAAACCTTGGGTAAAAGTTCGCCTATATACAACTGATTAAGGTGCCTTCATTTCCAAGTTACTCGGAGAATGCATCGTACCTCGGTTTCAATAACAAGAAGGAAAGGGCCCGCTTTGAATCACTAGATGTGTCGAGGTAGACCCGTGTGACTGCATTTAAGTGCAGTCTGGAGTGAGAATATCGATGGGCCACATTCGCTATGCCCACCGAGATGCCGAATAATCTACAGTAGTTGCAATGCACATTTTATGCAGACCTCCATGTGAGCCTTTCGTATCTCATTCAGCCTCGGTTTCGATTTTTATTTTGACTAGTTTAAAGTGTGTTTTGCTGCGTATTTGGTGTTTATGCAAATAAATGAGAGTACCCATAAACATGGCTGTTAAGTCGTCCCGGGAAAAATTTGTGTTGTATTGGTTTAGGCTAAGCACAAAAACTTGTTGAAGATTTTGCTGGCTTCGGTTTTCTTTTGTGATTCATTGTGTACCGTTATAACGATAAGCATGAAACCCGTTCTCGAATGATTTCAGTAAGTTAATTTGGGGTTCAAAATTTTAACAACCTATGCACTGCAATGATTGTGGATGGCATAAGAGCAACAGCGCCCTCGGTTGTCAAGGAAAGCGTAGAGTTTTTGAAATTCCATTTTTCAATGCATTAAATGGAAAGGAACGTGAAATAATCTTCATACGAGTATAAAGTTGCTGAAAAGATGTCTTGGAAATTTATTGCTGGCGACTCTTGTGGCATCCTAATACATTCAGAAGTTTTACAATTCTTTAAGTCGATCATTTGACTTGACCGTTTCTTCCCTTTTTACAGGTCCACCCAGACACGGGCATCTCGAGTCGGGCCATCAGCATCATGAACAGCTTCGTCAACGACATCTTCGAGCGGATCGCTTCGGAGGCTTCCCGCTTGGCCCAGTACAACAAGAAGTCTACCATCAGCAGCCGAGAGGTGCAGACGGCCGTTCGTCTCCTCCTGCCCGGCGAACTGGCCAAGCACGCAGTCAGCGAAGGCACCAAGGCAGTCACCAAATACACCACTACCAGATGATTCCGACCAATCATCGGACGCCAGTTTAACTCGACCACCGTTTAATAACTGGACTTTATTAGGCCTATAACAATAAGTCTCGCCTTCAAGACCCAATTATCACAAAATGATTGCACTTAAAGGTATCAGACAAGCGCCGATTTATTGTAAATAATGTGTATAAAAATGTTCAGTGTTTTTTTTTTACTTGAGTTTGAAATAAATTAACCTATTCTCTAATGATGTATTCATCCCTTTTGGGTTTTTCCTTTCACTGTCTTTGTCTTGTTCATATAATTCTACAGCATTTTCAGTACAGAATGCTCATTGCGATATGGTTACGAAAATTGCATGCTCCAAACAATTCATTCTTTCATCCGTATAATGAACAATTACAGCTAGTTTGCGGTGGCAATTTTTAGTTGGTGCGGCGGCGCTTTTTTAAAGAATAATTTATAATCCAATACAAGGCCGGCAAAGCAAGTGTTTGTTTTCCTGTATGTTAATACTCGGTCAGTCGCGTCCTTTGCAAAAGGAATTTCCATTGCTTTGGGCAAAGTGGCTTCCAATTGTTGGTATCGAATATCAGACCTATTGACACGGTTCAGTGTCGACGAGTTTGGCATTGGACTAGCCCCATTGAAGCTGTCAACTTTGGAATGCGGGTCACCTGTCTACTTTGTTGCAGGATTTAGCTACTTTCTGTGTCCGCACTGACGTCGATTGGGGATTGACGCTTTGGCCTCTGCACAGTCGCGCATTCAGTATTTAGTGAAGGCGCCAGGTGTGGATGCGAGTATCTGCTCCATTCGGTTTGTTTGCCTTGAAGATGCGCCCATTCCGTACCTGTCCGTTTTACTCGGGAGAATTAGACCTGATCAGGTTCCTGAAGGGTGTTGTGCAGCTATCGAAGGTGACTTTGAGGGAAAGAGTTCCATACCCGGACATTGCTTGACACTCTGTGCAGAGACTGAGACCGGTCTGAAATATTTTGAATGTTTCTAAGTAAATGTTTCGACATTTCCTACGCTACATTTGAATTTTTAGGACAGGGAAAAAAAAGTGATGTCGGTGTATGGAATTCGTCCCGAGTGGTGTTCTCACGCAATAATTTTAGATTAGTGTGCATATGAAGTATAACTTCTTGGTAGAATTAAAATGGAAGTAGCTAGTTTACTGCATGGCGATGATCGGAATTTGCCAATTCGCTGTTTTTCTATTTAAAGTAATGGATGTGTCATGTACTGGTGTGACCAACTTCGGCAGGAGATTTTTTTTTCTTTTCGCTGACCTAAATTCTGGGATGGGTTCAAACTAGAAAGAAGGGCACACGCAGCCGCATATATCCTACACAGTTCACTTTGCATTCACATGCGATAGGGCTTCCATTCGCTCTTTGAAAGCTGCCGCCTTAGGCATGGAGAGCCTCGAACTGGCAGCTTCACACAAAAATATAGATTGTTCACCGAATCAGGGACAACTGAACCAGCCATATTTAATTGTGTGAGCTTGAGCTGCCAGTTCGACACGGAGGCTCTCTCTACCTTTGGCGGCAGCGTGCGAAGAGCGAATGGAAGCACGCATGCGCACCGATCACCTTCTTCCGTCCCCTATCCAACACAGCAGGTATTCATACGCGAGACATATCAGAGCCTTTATCAGCCGTCTTATCAATGTGTATAGATGAATTAAAATCTGGGCCATTCCTGTCAGTTTATAGGGCTAGGCCTACGTCAGACTTCTCCAAATATATATATTTTTAAATATCTCGTGTTGGTATGCATCGATTATCCCCAGAAAGGCACGGCGCACCTTTCAATGGTAACCGGACCTTTGCCCTATTTTTAGCCCCTCCACACGCTCCTGCTGTGATGACGTCATTAGTACGTCATTTTTTTTATTTCATTTTGTCTTACACATGGGATATATTTTTCTCTGATAGTCTAAATACGTTGGTGCATAGATTCTGTATACTTTCTTGACCTGTACCTCTGTGGTGGCTCAATAAATAGTGTTTGGCTGGCTGGTGAAATTATAGGCCTACGCGCCTATTTGTAAGATGCTGCCATTTTAAACTGCGCCAAACTGTTTATATTTGAGTTCGTTTACAAAAGGTTCGGCCGTAAACGGCTGAAACAGGACACTGTCATATCCATGTGTTATTAACGTCGTAGATGTAAGTGCTATTGACCGCATGGCTCAATGCATGTATATTTGACGTTAGAATTACAGAAGAGCAATTACATATATATAACGTAAACAGCAGTATTAAATTGCATACACTCAGAGAAAGCATTGAGGCGTACTTTGGCAGCGCAATAGACTTGCCGAAGTCATCTAGTGACCGTGTTGCTGCTGTAATCACGCACCATGAAACTGGCATACCCGCACGTTGACAGGAAAAGGATTCCATTCAAACTGAACAGGGAAATATCAAAAGCTGTTGAATAGGAAACTCCGTAGTACGTATGAAATTGTATATGCTGTGAGTACGCTGCTTGTGCATTTTATTGCGTACTATTCATCTGTAACGTTTATCAATTCGTCCTTCGTGCATCGTCTCTCACAGTACATTGTGCCAGACGACGGCGTGAATATTTTGTCAGCGTCCGGTAACCGATAGACCATGGAGGTAGCAATGGACAGTGTATAGTTGTGACGTTAGTCGGTGCTTTTTCCTCTATGCGTTTTTCCTCGTGCATGTTACAATCTGCATGCTCTGGGGTCAAATTGTACGAATCAGATCTAGTAGCAGACATGAACTGCATGTTGCGTCAACGTTAATACATGTACATGTACACACAAACAGTCCACGTATACGGAAGTATTAATGCTCCGTCAGTTACTTGTAGAAGCCAAGTTCATTTTTCGTGTACTTGAGCAAGATAGGCCTATGTTGCACTTGTTTCCTGTCAAGTCTCTCTCGGCTAGAGCTCTATCCAACACTTTCTTTGTGTAAATTGGCAGAGTGGAATAGTAGGGCCCTTGTGCATGGGTTAATAAAATGATCACTATCGAAAACGAATACAAACATTATTGTGCTGGGGGGCTTCTATTTCGGTTATTATGCCTATAGCTAATTGTTATAGCAATGTATAAACCAGTGATAGAGTTCAGTTGCTGAGCAAAAATGTAACGACAGACTTATAAGGTGAAGTGGTCTGCCGCTGTACCGATCTACGATCTGTCAGCAAGGTAAGGGTGTCATATGGACTCTGGACTGAAGATTTCAGGCGCCAGTGATCAGTGTACATTGATACCCTGTGATCTCAAACTGCTGATTTTTATGTCACAATATTGTACGGAGAATCGAGGTTTTTCCCGCACATACCCCCCGCGGTGCTGTAGCCCTACTTACCGTAGGCAGGGCTTTGGGAACCAATATTTTTCTTTTGTTAAGTCATATCGATTACGTAACATTTCATCCCTATCAAGGACCCGCTGATGTTAACTGTCATAAAAATCAGCGTTGGGATGGTTGCGCCGAACACGGTCACGCTGAGATATGTCTTGCTCCGGTAGTGTGGTTCCCGTAGTTTACAGAGAACCGCAAAGGAATGGCTGTACTATGGTGAGCCAAGTTGTCAACAATGGTTCAACTTTAACATGGTCTGTTTTTACCATCGAGATACTGCTGGTAAGTCCCGTCAGTTTCGGAACTGACATGTTGACCCACGTTCTTATCATCATCTGTTTCTGTACACGTGATGTACGTGCGTACACAGTGAATTACCATCTGGATGTATTTGTGGTAGGTGTATGATGCTGGTGGTCTATTCCTTTGACTGCGTGATGACCTGTCTTTTCCTTCCTCCACGACCCGATATCGTTCGAGCATCTACGGCTACCAGTGATGAGTGAAAAGTACCCTTGGTGAATTTTCTGCAGTCCTCACTCAAGCAGATCACGTGAATATCAACTGCAGCCTGAGTGTGATCCTTGCGTGCTGGAGTGGCCGTACTTCGTGTCAGGAATCTGTCCCAATATTTACTCTGTGTATTATTATATCGATTGCCATGCCTCTCATTCTTTTCGTACGACTCCATGCGCAACACACTCCCTTTGCTTAAAACACAGGAAGATCGAGCCATTGCAGCAGTGTTGCAGTCGTGGAATAACATTTTTGGTACCACCTTGAACTTACATTTCACGGAGATGCTAGATGAGGGGAAAGTGCTATTGTAGACGGGTGTGTGTGGTGTAAACCATAACTATGTGGGACACGGGGACCGCGCTCCCCCCCGGCTAGAATGCCCCTTCTCTGGTGCCCCTCCCCTTTGATAATCCGTAATGTGTGCAGCCTTCCATGTATAAGAATCGCAGTTCATTTGCTTTCGGTTCCCCTCCATGTGAGCAGCCCCGGGTGCCTCCAACATTTCACCCCCGGTAAGTTGCAACGCACTTGCGCAATGCGCGCTGAGTATCACACAGCATGCAGTGAGGCTCTGCCGTTTCTTTAACGGCTGCATTGTCTGGTGAGCGGCTGTATTCTGGCATGTGCAGATGACTTACTTTGACATCATTTGAGTTTGTCTTATTGAAGCACGTGACTGTCATCCAACCGCACGTAAGAATCATTGGCAATTTATTTATTTATTTATTCCTTAATTTATCCAGGATAGTCAGAACTGCCAAAGCTGGTTTTCAGTAGAGCCCTGCAATAAAAGATATAAGCTAATTAGTAGTAGATTTAAAGAACTAAAAAACATTCTTCCTGTAAAAATTAAGAAAACAAGTTAAGCAAAAATACATAAGATATCAACCAAAATGGCTGAGAAACATAAAATGCCAGAAGTATTGGTTGTAACAAACACGTTGCAAACTGACATATGCACATGTACATGTAAGTATGGGCAGTGCGAGGACTTAAAATTCATGCTTTCTGTTCGCTAAAATCTAGTCCAGTCTCACTTAATAAACAACTACTCATCTAATAAAGTGATTAAAGGAACTTACTGATTTTAAAGTTGGTGGGCTTGTTCCTGATACCAAATCAAACCGCTCGGAGAGAAAATGCTACCTTTCGTAAGTATTGCCTCATTGGGTTCGGTCATTGAGTTGCACAAGAACCTGCTTTTTGTGCAGCTTGTAACTATGACTACGGAGCCCCGTGCTATGGCACAGGCTAGGGGCTGTACACACTTAGCTGGACTTGCATCAAGTCTAGGTTGGAAATGCAGGATGGCTAATGCTAAGCACAATCTTGAACCTTGCACAAATTTATTGTACTCCATCCTGGGTTGATTTGCCTTTGAATAACATCCATTCGTAGGATATTCAACTCATCCCAATGTCTATATATATGCATCAGTTGTAGACCTGTGATCGATCGGGACTAACAGATGAAATATGAGGACCCCAGGAATATTAGTACACATGTCTAATCACCCGGTAAGAATTCTAGCGGGACATCTTCCATAATTGTGAAGCGATGATCGCACGGTATGTTTAATAGGCTTAAAGGAACACAAATCCGATTGAGTGGGATTAAACTCAGATGGAACCGACTTGATGAGTATACATGAGAACAATATGCAGAGAAATGCTGACAGGTGTATTGTTACAGTAACCCCCTTCCTATACGGGATCTACTTTCTTGCGCAGTCCAGTAAAACTGGCCTTCAGCTAATGCGGGTTTGGACGATAAAATGCTGCGAAGTCTGTACAGTTTATTCGGATTTTTCCTTGGTAAACTTGTACTGAACATTTCATGTTATTTTAATTTTAAAAGTGTGCATGATTGAAGAACCAACATTAGGAAACCGTCAAATTGTATTAAATCAGTGGGCAAAGTAATTTCCAAACTCATATAAATTTTCTGCCTCCGGCAATGTTCCGTGAAAGCAACCAGATCGTGGGTGCCGAAACTGCGATAGGACGGCACATACGGTTCTAATGAAGACCTAGATTGTGGCAATCAATCATGAATTATGGAAGCCCGCTGCCGCTTGCGCGGTAATACAAGTTCTCATTTACTGCCAGCCGTCCGCCAAACGGGGTTAGCGAATTAATCGCGACGGAGTCGTGCCTCGAATTTCCCCAGCGCAGAGGGGGGCCCGTAAGCCGAAACCGCTGGAAAGTCAAGCCACGCGTGATCAAGCACGGGCTGACGAGTCATCCATGCACATGAATACGGAAACATGAACATGATAATCTAATCGTCCTTCGGGAGAAAAGGCAGGGTTATAATAGTCATGCTACCGATGTTCAACTGGTTTCGAGCCTAAAAAGAATGAAAACCTTGAAGTTGAAACCCTTTGCCAACTTCTGTCAGCAGCTTTAATTGTCGAGTTTCTTTCCCGAGTTGAAAGTATCTTCTGCAGAAAAGCATGACATGCCCTCGACATCGAAACAAAATTGCATTTTTCCTTTGTTTCACCATTGACCGGTGCACATCGCATTTTCCTTCTTTTTTGTAACATTTCCAAGACTGTAACTGTCTTTATGTAAATACATGTATAAGTCATGTCATACCGATAGAAAGTCTCTAATTATAAAGAAGTTAATCGACCTATTGCTGGAATGTTATTATGATATGTAGGCAATAAAAAATCTCAAATCTATATAGAAATCATGCTCTATTCACCAACCAGGCCAGTTCCCATCATGTTACTGAAATATGACAGAGATGGAAATACCTAAAAAAAAAAAACCAGCGCATCGTTTTCTATTCTTGTGTCACGCTTAATAATAGCTACATTGACTGCATTACCACATTTCCCTTCTCGCTCCTCTGTTCACAGATGTTCCAATGGTCTAGTATGAACATTCTCTCCGCCCACATGTACGCTGCAGGCCACGGCGACTCGGACTGAAGAGGCTCAGAAAGGGGGAAAGGAAAACAACGAGGTCTCGACCGGTAAATCAGATGTGCATAATCAATCATTCTGTGTGGTGTGGCCATGGCTTTTGGTGCGTTGCACGGCGTTGTGGAATGATTTGTGGGTTTTATCTCCCGATCATAGGTATAAACAGACGACTTGACGGTACACGTGGTGCTGTGTACGAATGCACTGCATAATGTTATGGATGTATTGTAATACACAGTGTACGTGAAAACCCTGCATGTACACTACATGTACGTGCCATTGGCTGGGAGCAGCGTCAGTGATGCGAGTGTTTATCTGGTAAAGTTATCAGCTACGAATTACTGACATGAAAGGCATCGGTGTCACGGCGCGCTGTCTATCCCTGCGACGGACCCAAATATTCTGCAGCTTGTGATGTATCTAGGACAGAGGGGACGTCGGTAGGAGGTAGGGACCATGCAGCTTCGCCCGCGGGCTGCCGACAACATGGAGACCGGGCTAGAAGATGGTGGTAACAACACCAACGGGGTTAGTGTTTCGAGCGACACAGCTTGGGTATCGCCCGATGATGTGGCCGGGGTGTTTAATATACTCATGGAGTTGGACGTATTCCTGGAGGATCAGGGAGGAACCAGCACCTCAGCGGAGGACAGAGATGCGGTCATGGGGACAAGCGAGGAGGGTGAACTTAATGAAGTACTAGATCGTGAATCTGAGAGGGATGGTGTAGGAGGGCAAACGCTTACCGGGAACACAAGTTATGTAGTTGGTGCGTGTTTAGAATGTGTTGATGCGGAGGTTGGAGCGGCTGTGATGAACGCCGTGAGGAATGGCCACGCGCCTTGTTTACAGTGCATCATTAACAACTTCGCGGTTAGTCAGATCAGGGAGCGCCTCGACCTCTTCCACGAGGTGTCCTCTCATCTGTCCAGGACTTCCCCCTCCTGGACGCGGTGGAGCGAGGCCACGAGGGCGTGGTGCACCTCTTCCTGAGGTTCCTGAGGGACTGTGAGTGCCTACACGAGGCGCTCAAGTTGGCCGACGGCAAGGGGAGGATGCCCGTGCACTTGGCGGCCCACCACGACCACCTGGGTTGCCTGGAGCTTCTCCTGGACTGCACCCCGACGGAGAGGTGCTACTGGAGGGACAAAAAGACCCAGGGGACGCCTATGCATCACGCCGCAGCTGGGGGTGCTGTGAGATGTTTGAGACGTCTTTTGAAGGTGGAGAACCCGGATGTCACTACCAAAAGTGGGAGAACGGCAGGTATAATACGCCCCTTCATTTTAAAACAGATTTTAATGTTCGTCCGTTGTGGTTAACGATCAAAATACGGTCAAACTGTCATTACCATTTTCAAAATGGCTATCTATTTGGACAGAAGAAATGTATTGTGATGTCTCCATGCCTCGTACCTTAGTGAAACAAAGGTAATTTTTTATTACATGTATGTCAAAAGTGCACTTTGACGAGGTAAAATACGCATCAATACCTACAAAGTTTTCAAATCCTATCCATATGTCTTCTTGACCACGATTACCTACTTCCAGAAGGGGGTCACGTCTGATCTGTTTTCATTTAATTTAGCACTAAGACATCGAAGCTGTATAGATTCTGGTATCATTTTTTTTTTCAGTCACAACCAGAAACCTATTAACACAAAGAGAGAATGGTAGTCATGGGTAGTGAGCCGCTCTCGGTGTCGTGGTCTGACTTCAGCTCATTACGTTGACGAATAAGGGCCCTGTTTAATGAAAATGTGACAGCTGATCGGATTATCTTGGCACAAATCCTTCACGTGCTGTTCATTTCAAAACAACCAGTAATGAGGCTACCGGGCCAAACATTTCAGGAAGGTTGGTTCATAATAAATCAAGGGTCAAGGGAGAAGTCATATCAACAACCTAGAGCTACACAAATATATCAAATGCCAAACCTACCACACAATCAAAACATCATTCGCATGCATTCAAAGATGGATGATACATGTATATTGTTGGTTCATCTTTTTTCGGTGATTTTTGCATTCATTATGACGTTCATTTGCTAGTGATATTTACAGAAATTGTACAGTGAATGTAGTGGATATTAAACGATACACTTCGTCAATGCCCCAATCAGTGTAACACAGATCCATGTACAATGTGTACATGCGTTCTAATGTTGGACTCGTCGAAGGTATAAAATATTTTGATATTATCTTAGTTTCAGAGGCGGATGTTTCAACGCAAGCGGTTAGTTGGAATTTATCATCCCTAACTTGAAAATGTATAGCTTTATCATGCTTCCTTTTCCGCTTTCCACTTTCATTTTAGCTTCAAGTTGCTGTTGTTCTGATTCAGTCTTGCGCATCAAGATTGAACAATTATAAATTCGTTTGTACATATTGTCAGCGTTACTGTGTGATTACGTTGCGTTTTGTTCATGGATAGTCTGCAGTTATAGACAGCAAGATTTCATTTTGCAAGCTTATCATGAAATGGTTCTGTCTACTGGGACTAATTTCCAATGAGAAAATTGAACTTCCTCAAATGAAATTGTGTTAAAATAAAACTATAGAAGGAATGGTGAGACGTATAAGAACACATCATGTTTTTTTCCGGATTTAATCCCCCCAAACCCCGTTAAATGTTTCCTAGCGATCGTATACAATAATTACGTAGCCGAGTGACCGGTATATCAACTCATTAACTCTCTGCATTAACTGAACCCATTGAACAACAACAATACTGTTGTGGAATACCACAGATCCTGAAAGGAAACACAATGCAATCCACAAAGGAAAACGCGGACGTATCACGTGCAGTTAAGGAAATAACATGACCGTGAACGCTCACGTATCAGGATTTCCCATGGGGGAGCCATTTGTGTACAAAAAATATACACAGACTGCCATTCATACAAAGTATAGCCGCAGCGTTGCCATCTCATATCTCGGTATATGAGAAAGGAGCGTCAGCGCACAGTATGTGTCAACACGAAGGTTGGCCTTTGGGATCCGTTGAGGTTATCGACAATCTTTGTCATTAATCAAGAAATGTTAATGCGAATGATTAGGTGTATACTAAAGTCCTCCTTGTTGAATCCGTGATCGCTTTATTGCATAGATTTCAATGGCTATTTGAAAATAGTTTCATCGTATATATTTCACATGAAGCTAAAGCAAAAAGTATTGTTTTATCAAGTTGACCTCCGTGTAGCACACATTATCGTGTGGGCAATTAATAAGCCGTTCTTCTCAGCTTTGTAAACTTGGAATGGAATGCAACTTTTGCGTTGCTTTTATAACGTTTTGTATTACGAACGTTCTCAGTTTTATTTCATAATTAATGAATTGTTCATTTCCAATGTACAACAGTGGCCGTCCGGGACTGCATGCAAATACTGGTTGCTAGCGCTAATAATTAAATGAATACCTCACGTAGATACACGTAGTTCATGTAGTAAAATGCATTTTTAAAATTCATACAATTTATTAAAAAAAACTTTTAAATGGCTGAAATTATTTCCGCTGCTTCGGGCCTTGTGCTCTGTATAAAGATCCATTAGGTTAAAAGGGTTTGGTCCGTTTTGAGAATTTTTTAACGAGATGTCCATCTTCTTGTCGTGCGTCCGTGTCCATTTACAGTTGTTGTAAACTGCCTCTAGTGGGAAAGTGCCAGACAGCTTCGTAATAATTGCAAGTATCTTCCGGTTTTCAGAGTTTGTTTGTTAGCTTGGAGGCGGTTGAAAAAGTGACAGGACTTTCTGTCGATTAGCTATTGAACCTATCATCAGAGCACTGTCAGGTTATTGGCTTTGAGTTTGACTGCGTCTTCACTCTTACACTCATCTGAACTTTTTGGCAAAACAAAGGAACATATCCAGCGGTCGCCTTGCTTTGGAACTAAGATGGCCGACTTATGAGTAGGCGAAGACTGATAGCATGATGGTCTGTGGTTGCCATAATGAAAACCTAGAGCACGTTCAGCTATGCCATGAGCGGTGTCATATTATCATGTACCTTAATCGTGGAAATCATGTGCTAAGAAAAGCGTTTGCCCTTGCCACGACTCATGGCTCGCGATCAATTCATCACTGAGTTGGTTGTATGGTAAACCACAGATAAACTGTTATTCTTGCACTGATTAGGAGAAATTTTGGATATCAAAGACTTCATCTGAGAAGTGATATCGAGGAAGCTACAGGATCGAATAAACATGACCAGAGAAGATAATCATAGCATCCTTTAGTCTGTCTACGCAGGGTATCATCGCATCTGCTTGAATTGTTTTCTAAGAAAAGATGACGTCATATTTTGACGTCAAAATGTTTTGAAAGCTAGGGGGCTTTGGCAGTATGGGTCGTCCAAATCACGGGGGGCGTGGCAAGTTGCCTACCTCAGTTCACCCCAATACCCTGTCTTGGATGTATTAACCACCACCATTAGTTTTGACGTAAACGTTAATAACTTTTTGACACAGACGTTTATGCGCTGTCCGTCTTATGGAGTGGAGACGACAAACAGAGTATAATACTCCGAAATGTCGAGTACCCCCCCCGGTTCTTTTCACAAGCACACATACTCATAAAAGAGATATCCTTGCATGGTGCTACCGCAAACCTTTTACTTAAGATAAAAAAATATCATTTTTTTCATCTCAACAGTATCACTGGCAGCGCAGGCTGGGAGTGTCAGCTGTCTAGAGGCGCTCATAGACCAAGCGGAGGCCGACCCGCAGCGTGCCGATGAAGATGGAATGACACCCGTTCATTACGCTGCCCAAGCAGGTATCAAAATAATTGGAGACACCTTGCTGTCACTTTTCCCAGATTTCTGAAATTGTCAGCTTATTGTACAAAGCCATTGCGCAGCTGCTCTTCAGTTTACTTGCCATGACAATCGATTCTCTGGTTACTTCACACAGCTTGGTGCACCAGGTTTTGTTTGGGCTGGTTACCGGGAAAATCAATCGTGTCGAAAATGAAATGAATTCTAAACATCTGCTTAACGCAGCCACACTGAGGGTGTAATGTAGAATGATATTTTGTCAGTTTACGGTAACAGGTTCTATTCATTCTAAAGATCTTGCACTGTTTCGACTCATGGCTTCATAAAGCCATAGAAAATGCCGCATGTTACTAATTCTACAGGAATTTTTAGCAGGGTAAAAGAAATCATATGCTGAAAAGTCATTTCCATTCTGTCATCTTCCACAGGGCATTTAAACTGCACTCATTGGTTGGTGCGGAGAGCTCGGTGTTCCCTGAACGATTCCAGGAAGAAAGATGGAGCAACTGCCATGCATCTTGCTGCAGGAAAAGGTAGAGGGGAATTAAGAGAATCTAAATGGGAACCGGGTTTGTACGATAGGGCTAAGTAAATAGCCCTTATGGAATGATATGGGAAACCTTCTAGGAAGTTAGTAATTTGGAGTCATCAATGGGAGACTTTGAGACGCTGGTGGCAGCAGACATAGCGGTCTTTTTTCAAGGTATTGCGCGTCCTCAGAACTGTGCACGCATGTTCAAAACAACGCGCGCATGCTCAGAACTGGTCAAAAGGACCGGTATGTTTGTTGCCACCAAGCGTCTCAAAGTCTCCCATTGTTACAATTTTACCTCTAAGGTATCGTTTCTGCGTGATGTTGGATGTACAACACATGCCCGTTCGACTTGTTGGCATGCACATTGTAAACCTGACGTGTAGAATCATTTTGAAGTCGTGCATCCTGTGCAACATTTGCTATTTTGAACACAATGTCTATACTGAAAGGTTATTCAACATTGCTTTTCATAATCCTAGGGCGATGTCCCATTCTACAGTGGGCGCTGAATAGGGAGCTTTCCTTCGGCGAAGAGTTGGACGTGTTCGGCCGCACGCCGGTTCACTACGCGGCGGAGGAGGGTCAGATCACGGTGCTTCGGACTTTCGCCAAGTTCCCACGAGTGCATCTGGATGTCAAGGATTTTCTCGGACGAACCCCAAGGTATCACTGGCCTACCGGGAACAGTACAAGACGACGGTTCATGATTTGTCTGTGTTTTGGAACCCGGTGATGAAGAAATTAATAACAGTGAATAAGGACCAAGTAATGAATGGAAATAAAGAGACAGTGCACCGATCCAATTACTTTCTTTGAGATATGATGGCCACAGCTACATGTGGATGGTGCTACTTGTGCTCATCGTTTCACACTTCTGTTTTCTCTCAAATTAAATAGCGCCCTCGTATTATTACCGCCATCTCAGAACACAGCCTTTGCTGGCAACTCTTGAGATTTTTCATTTACTCTAGTAAACAGTGATCTCTTCATGGGTTACTGACAGAGATTTTACTGCTTCCTTCTGAAAAGGCATCTTGCTTTGGGGGCACTGGCTCTTCACATTGATTTGATAGGTACGCAGTGAGGGGTGAATAGTTTTTGCTCTTTCCCTCAGTCTTCTATATGTTGAGGGAAAATATTCAATATTTTACTTTGTTATGCTTAACATCACTGCTGATCTTTATTTCATTGCAGTAGCTTGTGGTGTCTGCTATTTTTTTTCCCCAGCAATTTAGCTGAAAGACGAGGGCACAGCGCCTGCGTGCGCTTCCTTGACGCCTGCCTCCAGCAGAGGCATCCCGACGGTGAGGGCGCCCTTTTTGCCAAGTTGACCCGATCCATCTCCAGCCCGGGCGGCCTGAATAACAAGCTGAACCGTCGAAACTCGAACAGACGCAGCGGCCGGAGGAAGCATATCTCGTCGGTGGGTATATCTCTCTGACGGCGCTGTCCTAGACTCAAGAATTTATACCCACCTTGCCGGTGCGAGGACTTCATGTCTGAGTTCCTTTCCCGTCTCAGAGGGGCAGTGGGGTTTCCTGTACCCGGGGAGGGAGCATTATAGGGGTCATGTGGCATTTTCTTCTCCAGAACTAAAAATGGTTAAGGTTTTTGAAAGAGTTTGGAACCTTCATATAGAGGACGGGTTGAATTGTGTGTGGTTTCAAAAACCTTATAGCACTTAAGAAAATTCCCTTTAGTCCTAGGGCGCTAAACCTAGATAGACCCTAGCCACTGGAGATCGAGAGTGGGCCTTCGGTATGACGGAACTATGCCAGTCAGCCTGATTTAACCCAGCCTGTACCAAATGCTGCGAATATCTCTTCCTTTGTCTTTGTTTTCGCAGACTGCAGGGCGCTTTGGCTATTACCTCGTTGGGCCGAGTAAATTGTACACTGTATTGTATTATGATATCGATTATGATCCGAGTTTGGTTTCCTTTTATATGCGCAAATTTCGGGAGTCATGGGGAATCATGCAAACACTCTTTTCCTTTTTAACAAAAAGGTGGTGTTTTTTCTAGAATGAAGCCTAGATTTTCCTCTTGCGAGAGACTCGTATTGTCAAGTTTAAAAGGAAAGATTTTCAACGCACCTCCGTTATGACTATTTCAGATTGATAATTTTATTCTGCGTCACTCCTAACAATTCTTTGTAGTCTGCCATGCGTCAAGCATAATTTGAACATCAAATTGACGTAACACTAAGTCTTGTACAATTGATAACGGCGAGTGTATCGTGCGTGACAGTCCAGATGTATCCTGGAGGTTCGTGTCTGGCCACGCGCGTACATGTATGTACATTGCCAAGCACTTGACATGGGGCGCGCGATTTAGCGAGGCGTGCTCTGTAGTTAGCCGTCCCCGTACACAATGAGCCGTAGCCACTGGCTTTCGGACATGAGTTTACATGGAAGATTTGAAGAGATCTGCGTTTGCTTGTGCGATTTGCCTTCTAATTCTGTGCTATTGCTATGTGCTTTAAGAATGGTTCAAACTCTGGGCGGTAGCGTACTAACTCGATCTTTATGCGCAGAACTAAGACCTAATACAGATCCTTCATGCCTATTCTTAACCATGACAAAATATCATCTGATTTCTTCAACGGGTGTTGTCATGTCAGTAAAGAGTGATGTATGGCTTTATGTATCACATCTTTTTGTCCAAATTTGTGTAATCCTATCTAGGTGTATCTGGAAGAAAAAACATTGACGGACACGGAGTCCGGATCTACGCGTGAACTCCCTCCGACGGAAGAGATCGCCACTCACATTGTGTCCGCGCTCATATCCCAAGTAGGCATGATGTCTATTGCTCCGGTGGTGCCCGATGTACCACTCCACCGACGGATTATCAACAACCTAGTAAAGAAAATCAAACGCCAGACAAGCACAGAAGACTTCACAGTGACGCTGTAACTTTGCGAAAAGTAACTGTAACTTTGCGAGAAAAGCAATAATTAACCATCAGCAATATGTACATGTATAGCCTACTTAAGAAAAAATATATCCTACCAAGCTCATGGAAATAAAGTAGTTGGAATAATTCAACCCTATACCACCGGTCAATAATTACTCGTCAGGCAATATAATGGCAAGGAGTGTTACGGGTTGAAATGGTAACCGAATTGTGAATGACGTCAGTTAGGTTGTGACCAGTGGCAGCCAGAATCCTTGACCGAGCCTCAAATTGGTAACCATTTTAACGAGGGAATGCGGTGTGACGTGCCTTAATGTTCTGTCATCCCTAGCTGGTGGAGTGTTTGTAATACCGGTTACTGTATGTGTACCGTACTCAATAGCTTGTCTCTGATCTTGTGGATTGATCAATCATATACACGGTCACCACATCATCAAAGGAAAGTGCTGGATCACCTCCCCCGTTTTTAGATCACTCCTAAAAGCGCATGCGCATGACTTCCGTACTTAATAGTTATTTTTGCCTCCATGGTGTGGATGTACAATGTACGTGCAGTACTACACAGCAAGTTAAGAACCTATTTTTTATGTATAACCAATCCGCATATTGTTACATCCGTTTCATGCAGACGACTAAGGGTTGGCCTACATGTATGCCCTTTGGGATAACAGTGTCGAGAGTCCATGCATTACTTTTTTTCACTGCAACCCTCGAAAATGAATCTTAGGGTTTAAAATTTACTTTTTTTTCAAAGATGTTGTGGTGCCTTTGTGCTCTTCATAATACAGCAAATTTCCTTATTCATGAGCAAAACTGTGATGTCATTCCAAGGAGATAACCTCATTCCTTGGTTGTGCTGTAAGGACATAAAAAGTTAAGAACCGATATCATTTTGTAATCGATCTCCGCACTGTTACATCAGTTTCACTTAGATGGCAATTTTGGATGATACTTTGGAGGTCCCATGCAACACTTTTAACTGTAATCCTTGAAAATGCATCTTTGTAGTTCAATTACTTTTTTCAAATGTTGTGGTGCCGATATGTTTTTTTATGCTGAGGCCAATTTTCTTGTTCATAAGCAAAACTGTGATGTCATTCCAGGGAGATAACTTCCAGTAGTATTGATTTGTGCACAATCGGGGTTGTGGAATTTTCGACATTTGACTGTCTTATTACTTTCCTTTTCTTAAGTGATCCGTCTTTGTGATAGTACATGGCGGTAGGTCAACGATTAACCCCTTGTCAAAAATGTTTCGACTGTGAGAAAGATTTCAGTTCACGTATACCTATAGAATGAACAGTGTCTTTCCTGAATGACATGGACACCGACACTGTGCAACTGCGCCCTCATTTGTCCAGAGAAGCACGGGCGATTTTAAATGCACACTTTTCAACACCCTTACGTTCCCCAAAAGTGCATCTCAGAAAAACTCATGGCATGGATTCGTACCTTGTAATGTTTTTTGAAAGAGTTGCGTTCTTCAAAATACTGTCCAAAGTCATCGTCTATCAATGTTAGCATGCATATCCAGCAGTGCTTCTTTACCGGAATTCCAGACATTAGGATAGCTACTTAGTTGCGTAGGTCTGTGTTACCAGTAATCACGAATGAGCTGGGTTTTTTGGACCATCTCAAAGCTGCATGGGGCAGAATCAGCGCTTCCTCCCTCTTGAACTTGGTTGTCCCATGTAGATGAAACTTTGTATGTGAGCAGGGACCCTCATTTTCAGTACGACTGTGAAGTTTTCGCTTAGTCCATGCATGGAGCTATTAATAGCTCCGTGGTCCATTCTAGGAATGGTTTTGTTATGGTCATTTTAAGTTCTTGACCACACGTGTCAGCCTGCGTGGATGAAGCATATCAGTGGAAAACTATAATGAACCGGTGTGTCCGATTTCCCAGAATTGGTGTCATGACGATCGCAAGGCACAACTGAAAAACTCCCTAAATGTCGGGACATGAAAAAAAATTCCCGGCGACGATATAGAAGAAAATAGGGGGGTAGATTCCCCAGCTCTTTTGGCGTAAACAGACTGAGACATACCGCGGATGCTTATCGTTTCTGTATTAGCCGACTGAAAAAAAAATAGATGACTAAAAAGCGGTCTATGACTTTCGCTGCGACATTTTAAAAATTACGTTGTCTTATTTATTTCGTCTAGTGCCTTTAATGTCATAGCTTTATAATGTTAGTCAAGCCTTCCTGATATGAAAATATGACACGAAATGCCGGTAATAAAAAAAAGTTTTTGACGTTTTCTATATGTTTTTATTGAATTTCGCTTGCACTGTCATATAGCAACAATCTTTATCATATATCCCATGATACAGGAATTTTTAAAAATTATTTTTAAAAAAGGGCACGTTTTCTTCGACAAGCTAAAAACAGTTACGAAAAGTGAAAATATGCTGATTCTGAATGGTACACCTGAGTTCGACCAAACCGAAAGTATTGATGAAAAGTTCGACGCAGGCCTACGACACATTGAGCCTCGAGCTGAACCAAGAGATGGCATAATTTTCTCACCAACGGAGGCTCCTTTGGTCGGAAGTGGACTTCGCTGGTGGTTCACGAACAACTATGAAATGCACGCCTTTCGGTCGCATCGCTACCAACAACTTGATCACTCCTGACCAATATGATCCTTTTTAACCGATGGGGGGGTGCTTCTGCTCCAGGTGGACATAGACGTAATGCAGTCTCACTTTGTTTAGGCCCCCTACGTGAGCGGTTCCCTATGAGTCACGATGGATCGCGCCCCACCGCATTGGTATAGGAAAGCACACATATAAACAAAGCTTGACGTCGTTATGTGAAATGGCTATTGGGAGCGACTACCCGGTTTGCAATCCCCTTCGAATGCAACGACACCACAATTAAATTTTGGAACCCCGACCTTGGAGTCATTTGATGTACCCGTGAAAACCCAAGCAGGGAATTAAGCTACTGTAGTACGTGCTGTCTATCGGCCCAGCTCTTTGTCTGAAACTGACTGACTTCTTGGATTCAGTCAAACAAGTTACTGCCTCAGTTCATGCAATGGTTCTTGGGGATCTTAACGTCCATCACCGCTCACTAACTAGCAAGTCACCAACAGACAGAGCTGTAATTGCTGGTCACAATCTCTGCCTGGCATATGGTTATCAGAGAGCCTACCTGAGGCGGAAATCCACTATAGATCTTTTTATCGTTGATTTTGCTGCTTACTACAACTCCAGCGTGAAGGCCAGCTTTGGTACATCTGACCATGGCTCAGTGGGGAAGGTATTTAAAAGCCACCTGTCGGACAACCATATCATCGACGATTGTGGGATAATAAGAGAGCAGAGTGCTAGTGAGGCATTCATGGAACCAAGCATTGAACGCTAGAGATCCAGCGATAGTCACTGCAACCAAACTGAAGCTATCATTAAAGCAGGTATGAAGAAATTCATCCCTCACAGAGATGTCACTGTCCCACCCGCTGATATTCCTTAGTTTACAGAGCCTTGCCAGATGGCTTGCATGGCTGTGTGTCAGGCTTTAGGACTACAGCAAATAATGGAAAAAGAACCCATGTGCTGCTATAAAACGATATCCTACCAGAAGCAAGGCAGAACTATCAGAAGTTGAAAAGGCAAGAAGCAACACTTCCAAAAGACTACAGACCAGCTGACCTCTGCAACAACCAAACCCCCGATTGATGATGGGCAGTGAAGAGCCCAGAAAGGAATGGGTACCAAGCAAGTATCCCAACCTTGCAGAAGAATGGAAAGACCTTTACCACTTGTCAGGGGAAAGCCCATGGCTTGTGTGATCATCAAAATGCAAAAGCGATGAGGTTGACGACATGCCTCCTCATCACAGTGTAAACCGGCATATCTCCCTGAACAGGGTAAAGTTCAGGCCTCAAGACATGAAACGAATCCTGGTAAAGCATTGGGTCTAGATGGTATTTGAAATCGGGTTCTTAGTGAATGGGCATCAGTCCTCGCTATACCTCTTACAAAGGTTTTCCGCTTCTGCCTCAGAGGTGGCTACTTCCCTCCTCCTGGAAAATTGTCAAATGTAGTGCCAGTGCAGAAGGATTCACACTCAATTCCAGACAACTACGGGCCAATCAGTCTCTGTAGTTGTATCAGGGAGGTTATGGAGAGACGAGTGGAACTCTTACCGTACCACCAAATAGCCCCCAGGGATATAGGCACTAGTCACACTACCGGCCCCTCACACCAAGGCGAAAGGTGTATCAAACTTTACCACAGGCCCGCTCAGTTGTCAGCTTTCGCTCTAACCAAACAAGTCCGGTTATCAGCAGAGGCTGTAGAATTGCAATGTTCTGCTGCAACATAACACGGGCCCTACGCGCCTTATTTGGCCTCGGAAGCCAGCCGCTGCCGCGACTACGCCTGCGTGACTACAAACACATTGCGTGCGAAGGCCAATAATGAGTTTTAAGTTATAATGTGACCTAGCAGTGACTTATGATGCCAAATGCTTTACGCGCAGGCGGAGCCTAAGCGCCGCACCAGCTAACACACGACTATGCGTACGCAATACATGTGCCCCTGTTACCGTGAAGAGCGCCATCTATATAGCCCTGTTTACAAATGCACAGGTTGGCTCGAGCGCTCCAAGAATACTAACGATGTAATTATTTTATACTACGTACTTAGTATGGAAGTGGGGGCGTATTAAGAAACGGCGATCTCGTTCGTACAGGAAAAGTCATGATTGTGAAGTCTTTTAACAGAGCACTAAAAATCCTGCTTAGATTAGAAACTAATAACAAAACGATTTAATGGGATTTATTCTGAAGATAAAACACTAAAAAAAAGCCAGAAAATCTTAGAAAATTATCATCAGAGTCGCACCCGTGTACCTTTTCAATGGCCCCTCAAACTTCTTGTCGTCAAGGCCATTTGTGCGCATGCGTGTAAAATTATGAATTTATTTGTGAAAAGGTCTATTCTGTACCTTCGCCTAGCGCTCTCTGCGCGTCAAATATCATCAAGACCGCTACACAAGTTGACGATTTCCAGTTATCACGTTGGAGAACTGTACCGACTGCACATGGCAGGAGCACCACGAGAACATAATTTCCTAAGGATGTATTCTTTTCGTAACTGAAGACTATTAATTTGAATTTTATGTTGTGGAGATACGGTAAGTGCTTTGTTTCTAAGTCCAAAAGATTTACCACAGTAATCGAAGGCTTACCTGTCGAAAATTTTACCTCATTTAGTGACGGTACCCTTGTCAGACGGGGTCATCGCAAAGAACTGCAAAAAGATGATACTGAGGGTTCCAAAACAAAACGTTACTTTCAACCGACAGGATACTGACATGGTTCAAAGTTGTAAAGACGTAAATAAGATCAGAACCTTGCTATAAACTCAACGAAGGTTGGTAAGTGACTTCGTCAAAAAGGCAGACGCGCCACGATTTGCAGGCTCCCTTTGGACGATCGCTGAAGTTGCACGTTAACTTCCAGTTCCATGGTTCGGTAAAAGGCAATCAATGCATGTAACTATGTGCAGTACACGTGAGCAGTGGGCGTGGTTTAAACTGAAGTGACGTCACACTTACGAACCGGATTAACAACCACAGTCTTTTTGAAATAAGTACCGGTGTCAGATTCATCAAGTTTAGAGCTAGACAGAAATTTCTAAGAAGTAAAAAAAAACAACGTTGCATGTCCTGGCAATTTAAACTGTATAAACTTCCAATTGGACAGAACAAAAAAGTAACAAACAATTAAGTAATTGGAAATATCTCTTCAACACATCATCAGCTTTAAATAAGGTTTTCAGTTTTGAAAAGGTAACATAAAAACTTTAATTTGACCCCCCCCCCATTCTGACCATTGTTTTGGGAGAAAATAAATGTTGCCATTAGGTTGCGAGGTGTCTTTGGGGGGAGGGTGGAGGCACCCTGTATTCATAATCCGAATGCTCTTTTAGGTTCTGCAAATTGAACAGATTACATATGGTCTTCTTTTTCAAATTCAACTTCTGAATGACACGGACGTTAATTTCGGGCCCTGGGGCTGTTAATCATTACGAGATCTCACAACACCAAAATTTTTAATGCTATCATTGCAAATTTTAGCTGCTATTGTCTTTTGTATGGCGTAGTTTTTTCTCTGTTTTTTATAATGAATGAAGAGGTTTATTAACGTGAAAAAATGCATTGTGTCCATGTTCTTTCTACAATAACTTCTGCCTTGATGACGTTACTGTTCTGAAACTTAAGAAAATAAATTGAACAGGAAGTGGTCATGGTCAGTGAATCGCTGCCTTTCTATGTAAACAGTAGGTTTTCTTTATGGCTCTGGAGGGAGCCCTGTACTTACAAAATGACGCAACTCTGGAGTTTATTTATTTGACCTAATTAAACTGTGGACATTAGCCGTCTCCAGCAAATTTAAATTAAACAGTGTTTAGCCTGCTACTTGTAGACAGCGCCCTCTTTGATGCGTATGCACGAGTAATGCTACGAAGGTTATTTCATGCTGCTTCGCTGCTAAACAGTTTCGTTCTAATGGACAGCACAAATAACAGAACTGTTTAAACAGATGAGTCTGTTTTTTATTTTATTAGAGCATGGAAAATGGCCAGCGTTATACCGATTATGAACTAACACAAATATTAGTTTTGCGGATCAGAGAAAGTAATTACCTCAAAAAAGAGAACGACCTGCAGAAGGCCTTGTTATATTGAGCCCTGAGCATATTGTGTGGAAGCTTGGTCTTGTTTCTGTCTCTTTCTTCCTTCCAGCTCTTTTTCTCTTTCTGCCTTCCAGCTCTTTTAAGGCTGCTTCTTCTGCGACTTGAACTGGGATTGCCTAGGACCTCCTGTTTCGAGTTGTTTGACGGAGGACCAACCAGCCTTGCTGTTGTCTGCTATTTTTATTTTTGTCTGTCTGTCTGTCTGCTACCAGAGTCTCTGCTTCTTGGATAGCTTCAATTGCCTGTTGAATGTCACCTGACTTCAGAATGGCAATTTTGATTTTGTCGTGGGCTACCTAAAATTGACCACAGAATTCGAGCAGTGCTGAGATCCCAGGTTTGGTGAAATCTTTAGCCTCCAACTTATTTTTAGCTCCTTTAGACCAATAACATCATCCTTGTAACTGCTGCTGGCGAGACAGTCAAATTTTTCGTTGAAGTATTCGTTGAATTTGTCAAATAGTTTTTCAGGATCGAATTTATTTTGGTTGTCCTTAGATGACATTACGAATTTCACAAGAAGTTAACTTAAGCGAATACGAT